CCACTAAGTTACAATACAATGCCGTTCTCCCAAATAGGCCATGTGATTATTAAAGAAAACGGAAATTTAATGGCAAACATTTTCATACTAACCCCAAGTCGATTGGATAAGAAGTGGATTTTATACAAATATTTTTTAATCGCGCGTAAATTTACGACGCTCTGGCAACTACTGGTCAAAATACCGCTATTTACGCGTCGTTTATTTACGACTCAGGAGCGCTAAAGTGTTTTAATCTAATGGCAGAGGCTACATTTATCTCTGAAATTCTATCCCCAATACTCTTCAGATTCAACTCCATTGTCAGTATGTCAATCATAGCATAATTCTCATGGCTTCTAAAGTTTCTATTCTAAAGTTCTGTTTTATGCCACGAAAACAAATTTCAAACGTTTATAGGGATAACATTGTGAGGATTAAAGGCCAGATATAAATGTATATTTGAAATGAAGTAAATCTGTATGACGATGATCCTGCTTTTCATCAACAAAAAATGAATAATTCTGTATACTTGATAGAGCTGTTTACATTCAACCCAACAAGGAGGTGAAACTGGTCGAGAAAGAGAGATCTAAACACAATAATTTTAATGTTATGGCTCAGAGTTATGTATCCATGGTGACATACTCACATGCGTCTGGGGTCCTGTTTTATTCATAGGTATCTGGGGTCTTGTCTTGCGGGTGTCTGGGGTCCCGTCTTACTCACAGGTGTCTGGGGTGTTGTCTTAATCAGCTTTTAAGCGCATGTAAGTGATGTAACCGAAGTCTGGTGTTGGGAGCTCACAAGGGTTTTGTTTGCATCTATTTTCCGGTGCGAGATATTAATGGAATCTCCGAACTTAACTAATTATTTATGACTAAAAACCTTTTAACGTTAATGACTCACATGTGGAGCTTCTCCTGCAGGGGGATTAGTGCCCTCAACTTACCCGAGCGAGTGCCCCGGCGGACAGTATTTCGACGACAACCACGCAGTGCCTAGCTGTGACGTGATGGATAACACCCCTGACGGATTCTACTCCAACCTCTGCAACCTACGTCTGCCCCACCGCACCGCAGACGGCCAGCCCACGCCCAACCCCAGTGATTGCCCCACCGACTACATCTGCCTCCAGGACGACATCATCGAAGTGGGGTGTAGTCCTGACATGCCCTTCTACGACTTCATGCTCGGACGACGACTACCTTACCACCAGGTTACCTTGAGATGGTTTCGGACCTTATCGTCCCCGCGGCGCGGTCCTCGACCAGGCCTCCTCGTTGCTGGACTGGTCAACCAGGTTGGTGGACCCCTGTGAGCCGCCCTGCGGACTACTGCGACCCTCTGCTAGCCGCACTGTACGGAAACGGGTTCTCTGATCCTTAACCCGCAGAATTGCCACGAGTTTTATGGGAGTAACCCTGCAGAGGAGGCCATCTTCCCGTGCCCACACGACCAGGTGTTCAACCGGGAAACTGGACTGTGGGAGGACGGGGCCGTCTGCCAGGTTGCCTGCCCTGTTACTGACAATCCGTTGTTCTAGATAGTGTAGACGCCTGTGTTATATCCGGGAATTTATCGTATTATCATAGTAATTTAGATGTTGTTAAGAATTATGCATATAACTATATGCGTTGTCTGTTTATCAGCATTAATAAAATATAAACAAAAATCGTCAAATAAAAATATCTGAGAAACAAGATTGAAATTGTTCGAGTTAAATATTTATTTCTTACGTTTTTATTATAAAGAGGATTCAGCATTATCATAATCGTTATAATTTTTTTAACATCATGTCTACAGTGTTTCGATCAAACGTAATTATCATTGATGCCAATATTTAATGTTAATATTTTATTTAAAAAATCAATAATTTCTCGACGGTACGGTATCCATTGTGTATTTACAATATATAGATTTATAGATTTCCTTTCAGTACGTGGAGAACGCCTAGTCGTAGTAACTTGAAACTTATAAAACTCAAGTTATAAACTGAGAACTGAGTCAATATGGTATTACAATTTAGAAAAGTAGCTGCCTAGCAATATATTATATTTTTCGTGTGTGTACGATACTTTGATAGTCTCGCCGTGTTGCCAACATACAAAATTAAGGTTTATTTTGTTATTGAGCATTGTTGCCAGATGGGAATTATTCTTTGTATATTTTGAGTGTTCATAGAGAATACTTAAACGTGGCTGGGGCGGACCGTAGAGTTATTTACGGGTGAGGTACAGCCCTCTCAAGGTGCCCATGTCAACAATTAATTAGCTTCTCAGCATTTATTTATGCTTCTCAACATTTAATTAGGCTTCTCAACATTGAATTAGGCTTCTCCTCATTGAATTACTCAGCCGTCGGGTTAAACACGAATAAGTTTTCTATTTTACTAAGAGACCTAAGATACCATGTGAACATATCCCAACGATCTCATAGCAAGTTTGTTCACTGACAGACACAAGGAATATTTATCAACACCACCGCTGGGAACCAGGCAAGCAACTGCTCGCTTGGTTAATTACTCACCCCTCCTGCCCTCGGCCATAACTGGGCAAACCACGTTGATCTATCAAACTATTAACGCTGATAATGTTGATTCTATGTTGACTGAAAGCTAGCCGAGCATTGCATGTCCGTTTTACCGAGCAATGCATTACCATTGCTTGATTGCTGGGGACTCGTGGTTCATTTAATTCACTGGTTCTGGTCTGTGGATTAGTATGATGGATTAGTTTGGTTAGTACCATACTGTGGATTAGTATGATGGATTAGTTTGGTTAGTATCATACTGTAGATTAGTATGGTTCACTTATCATCCATCAGGCTGTACTATAGTCTCTCAAACTGATGTATCTGCTTTTACGTGAAGCAAAATGTAAACATTTTCAGTATCAAGTTAAAAAATCTATCAAAAATAGATGTTGTTTCCCCGTAAGTGAGACGTAGAAACGAGGCCTTATCTCCCCCCAGGTGTTCCTCTTCTCTCTCATGTCACAGCTTCCTCAAAACTGCACTTTTTCTCTCCCACACAAGGCGCCAATATGATGCCGTTCACATGACATCTTTTTTAAACTTTTGTCAAACATATCGTTGTGGACTCTCGTCTGGAAACCACTGACTCTGTGGTCGTTATCTTCTTGAGGTTATCTTGAGGTTCGGGGCTTAGCGTCCCCGCGGCCCGGTCCTCGACCAGGCCTCCAGTTTGTTACACACACCACCAGGAAGCAGCCCGTAGTAGCTGGCTATAACTCCCAGGGACCTATTTACTGCTAGGTAACAGGGGCATCAAGGTGAAAGAAACATTTTGCCCATTTGTCTCCGCCTCCACCTGGGATCGAACCCGGGACCTCAATCCGAAGCGCTGTCCACTCAGGTGTCAGGTGGAGACAGTTTAAACCACTTGCCGAGTTAAGTTTTCTTATTATTCATTATTTTCATTCTCGTCGTCATTTTCCCATTATTCACACTCATTAGACTGAGAAACAGTTGTCAGAAGACAGAAAAATAATGTTAGATAAAAAGATTAAAGATATCAATATTTTAGAACGTTATCGATCAAATTACACACCCTCAAAATTATCTCCAACACCACAACAGTCAAACTATATCATCACAGTGAACCAACACCACACCAACAATATCATCACAGTGAACCAACACCACACCAACAATATCATCACAGTGAACCAACACCACACCAACAATATCACAGTGAACCAACACCACACCAACAATATCATCACAGTGAACCAACACCACACCAACAATATCATCACAGTGAACCAACACCACACCAACAATATCATCACAGTGAACCAACACCACACCAACAACATCATCACAGTGAACCAACACCACACCAACAACATCATCACAGTGAACCAACACCACACCAACAACATCATCACAGTGAACCAACACCACACCAACAACATCATCACAGTGAACCAACACCACACCAACAATATCATCACAGTGAACCAACACCACCAGCGTCAGTCTCTACACTTTCCATGACATGCTCAATCTTTAACACCCTCGCAGTCCGATAATTCAAAGGGGCGTTATCTAGTACCTTTCACTTTGCATGCCACTGACATATTAGTTCATTATCAACCACTTTTCGCTCTGCATTTTGATGACGCATTGTTGCCTAATACGATCAAAGTTCTTGAGAACCAAACGTTCCTCCAAAAAATTTTGTTTTTATTGAAAACTGAATCCCAGAACACGCACCAAGAGTGTTCAGAACTCATGGCGGCCATACTGAGCGCGAGCTGGTGTCCCCGCGAGTGGGGTGTCGCTAGGTGGTGATAAGACGTTTTTTAACCGTCTTTGTCAGGGTAACCGATAAGTATTAGGTCTCCCTTGGGCCACTGTGATGAGTCTGCCACAGTGTCGTCTGTGACCTGTGGCGGGGATCACAACAACTCTTCCCTCTAGTTTAACTCTCCTAACACTTAGCATCGCAGTCATCAATAGGAACTTTGTGGGCTAATATTACCGAGTAATTTCTTAACTTAGTGACCCGAATTTAGAGTACCTCGTTAAACTACCCAACCACTGTAGTAAAACTTGGCAAATTGCTCGTTAATCCAATAAAAAAAGTCGTACTCGTCTCTGAATGAAAAAAGAATTTATACTGATAGAGTTCACATTTGTATCAAACAGTACTTTACTAACTTGCTTTGTTCAAATCTCAACGCTCAAAATTCTGTTCCCACCTGCTTCAAATGCCAATAATTGCCAACAAAACCTAAACACTAAAATCTAACAATGCGCAAAACTAAAATAATATTTGTTTTTCTTGAGAAAACATCGCTATTGATTATACAGTGACACAGTTTGTCATTTTGTCCGCATCTTTCCTCAAGGTTTCCCCCGTCGAAAACTGTGTCGGACTTACTTGAGTAACGTTAAGGATAAGTTGAGGATAAGTTGGACTGAAGCAAGTGTGCAAATGTTTATTATATTTATTTCAGGAGTTTCAGGACATTGGGGTAAAAAAGAACATAACATTTTAAGATCAATGTAAATAAAGTTTATTAAAACAATACATTTCAATAAGTTAAAATAGTTGTGCTTGTTAATTTGGACAAAGAGTTTCACAGACAGCACCATCCTCACACTCTCCAGTCACAGTGTTGAACACCTGTTCCTGGGGACATAGGAATACCGACTTGTTCGGAGGTGAGCACAGGTAGAACTGATGACAGTCGGTGGGGTCTATAACACGTTGGCCGGAGTAGGTACAGTGAGGCTCGCAGATATCACAGTAGGGGTAGCAGAGGGTCTCGTCGCTCTGGCAGATGCTGTGTTTAAAGTCATAATATGGGGTTGCCACGTCACAATCATTCTCTAAGTAAACGTTAGGATCTGTCAGGCAAACGACAAATTTAGAGCAATCTGTGGGATTAGGTTGTTCGGTGCCGGGGTTGTTCCCGTTACAGTCTGGGATGCAGGGGTCACAGAGCCGGGAGCAGAAGCCGTCGGGGGCTCCTTCGATGGGGTCACACCGGGGAATTGAGTGGGCATCGTTGAAGTAATATCCGTCTGTACACTGGAGTGGGACCTCCGAAGGTGTATTCACTCCTGTATTGACAATATAATGTTACTTATATTAAGAATTAATCTTGAGATACCTTGTAATATTATATAAGAATTAAATATTTTTCAAAGTCTTTTGAAAGCATAATGCAAATAGATATAAGATATGAAAGACATGTACTGTTGTGAACTTGGATTCCTTACTGTTAATTATATACTGTAGTGAGCTTGGATTCCTTACCGTTGACATTGATGCAGACGTAGTACCTGGTGCAGTCGGTGGGGTCTCTGACGAAGGTCTCGGGGTCAGTACCTGTGCAGTCTGGGGCACACAGCTGTACACTCCGCCTCACCTGTGAGGAATATGAGACAGGTCATCCACACACAGTTCCTAGAGTTTCCAGAGACAGGGCGCATTTGACCGCTAGAGATCCAGTTGAAACTACTGCACATGGCATCAGCATAGTGGCAGCAGTGTAGGGGCAGCAGCAGAGCAGCAACAGCATAGTGGCGGCAGTGTAGGGACAGAAAGGTGTTCTAATGTTTGCCAACGTCCCATATGCTGCCGATGTGACCCTGCCTGTGTGTGCCTCTGGCGTTACGGATGGAACTATATCCACTTCCAAATCTCCTTCTCTCTTAGAAGAAGGAGATTCGGAAGCTCTTAGTCTCTGTTCTCCCTTTATTACTGTACGGTCAGCAGAGAAGTGGCAACAGGAATTGCAAATCAGCGTCTGCTCGCTGCCTACTTAACTCAGCGTACAAGGTCAAGCAGTATAGTCTGGTGGATATTATCCCCTTGCTTCGTAAACGCAGAAAACAGGTTGCTTGTATGCATAATAAATCCTCTTAAAAAGATAGTACTTATAGTAACTCTATGGATGAACGTACCAAAATATATTGTTGAAGACAAAGATGTTCACTTTTTTGTGCTATTAATGTTGTACATGACGCGAAAAACTTAAACATTCCTAGGCATATTATAGCATATATATACTATATTAGGCCCTAAGATTTCTTGGACAAGGTAGGTTAATTTAAGTTCTTTAGTTTCCCATTTTTAATTATGCCCTTTGGAATAATTCAATAATACAAAACGTAAATTTGTGTATGTCCAACAGTCCATTTTTTTACGTTCGACTAAATAGTACCATCATTATTGGAGGATGGCTGGCACATTAGTACTCTCTGGGGCCTGGTTCTTGTGCTCTGCCGCCCTCCTCAAAGTCACAACCAAAAACTTTTTGGCTCTAAAGCAGTGCCTCTGTACTCTCCAGTGCCTCACTACTCTCTATAGAGCAGTCTCACCATTCTAAACAACAGCTCCACCACTCTGTTTCAACGTCTCACCAATTTCTTAAGAAATAGACTCACTATTCTATAAGAAACTCTCTTACCCATATTGTAAAGAATTATCGTTTGTCGATCTCGCGACGCTTAATGTGATTCTACCTGCTAGTGTGTACACCTCCAAGATTAACCCTATTTACACGAAGCTTTTGTCCTTTCTTGCAAATGTATTGTTCTTATATTACTGGAAATTTTCATGAAAATATCCGTTAATTTTGTTGTTAAATCAGAGATATATGTCTTTCGTGGGTCAAGGTGAGCAGTATTGGTTGAGTTAGTGTGAGATATTGACTTACGGCGAGAGAGAGGAGCAGCAGCAGGAGCGTGTGTGTGGTGGGGAGCATGTCGACAGTGTGACTGGACTCACCATCACGCTCCGCTCTTATATACGGCCCTCTTTACCCCGCCCCATCCACACCCACCTAATACCCTCCTCATCCACCTAATACACCCTCCACACCCACCTAATACTCTCCTCATCCACTTAATACACCCTCAAGTTCAAGTATGTTTATTGAGACAAGAAAAAATGCATCTCAAAGGGATAGAGTAGTTTAGGCTGTTTCTACCCCCAATAGACCCTCCACACCCACCTAGTACACCCTCCACACCCACCCAATACACCCTCCACGCCCACCCAATACACCCTCCACGCCCATAAAGAAAGAGAAAAGAGGGGTTAGGCTAATGTTAGGTCACGTTTGTTAGAAAGGTTAGAGCAAACGTGACTGACATAAGCCTACCCCCACCTTTTTCTCTTTCTTATTCCTTTTCCTTCTCTTATCCTTACACCCATCTTACACTCCATTATTACACCCATCCCATCAGTACCTTTCTTCTTGTTCTCTTACCTTTCGTCTTGCTCTTACGTTCCTCTAGGAATTACCTCCTCTGACCTGCTCCTCACCTCTCTCTCTTGCCTTACTAAATGCCCGTGTCTTCCACGCTCCCATCCATTAGAGTTACAGCCCCGCTCCTGTGCCAGGTAAGTCCACTACGGGCTCATCCTCGGTCCTCGGTGTATATACACGCAGAGAATTTGCTTTAGTCCTGGGAAATGTCCAGGATCAAAATATACTGACTGGTTGGTCAGTAAGCTATTGTGGTGCCTTAGTACGCTTATGAGCCTAATTCACCTAATTGTGTGAATCCCTGGTTCAGCTTCAGTGAAAGCCTCGGGAATCCTCGAGGGTGCGGTAGTACCCAAGGTTGCAATCTTTGACCATGTCGTGGCGTAGTCGTTTAGAGCGTGCATATGTAACCCGTCCTCGACTCAAGTCCATTACATCCAGCGATCGACCCCACATTCATAAACTTTTACATACTGTTCATTCAAAATGGGAATTTTCTCATATATAAATTAATATTAAAACATATTAGCATATTGTGCATATATAGGCATAGGTTAGGTTAGGTGTTTAGGTTCTGTCGTGACCACACTGATTTTTTCCTTGTCTGGACTACCCCAGACAGAGTATTGTATTGTTCCGCATCGCTTACCCAGTTACTTTAGCAAGGTTAAGTTATAACAATTAAACTCTGTTGTACTTAATTGATCCAGACTGGTTGAATTATTTTACTGAATTAAATTACAAACATCTAACGGCAGAGCTGTTCCCGATCACAAAAATGGTTATTAAAACTTGTAGAAATAGTAGACCTGTCAACCCCTGATGACCTATGACCGCCGGTCACTCCGCCTTAAAAGTTAGATCCGATTCGTGACGTCACTGATGGTGACTTAAACTCAATAATTAGAATACTCTTGATATTGTATCCAGTACTATTATACAATACAATTTTAATGCAAAATGAATAAAGGCTAATTTTCTCTAAATTACTGAATACTATAGGATGATTCATTATACGCCGTTATGAACAAAGCGTCGGTTATTTCCACCGCGAATTCCCCTGGGGGTCAGGTCACCATGCGGCTCAGCTTCCCATTCTCTTTTGTCGATAAACCACTCTGGATAATTCTTACAACAGCCTAGTTTGTTACAACCCCCCCGCACAAGCACTTAGTAAACCTTGTTAATTTGTTAAAATTCACGAGGTTTAGTATCCAAACCCACAATTCAACTCATGCCACAAACAAAAGCTAACCTAACTAATAAAATTTGACAAATAATAGTCCAACATCAACATGTTTAAATTCATAAATTTCTCAGCTGTCAACTGACAGCAATCCTCCAATATCAGGAAACATACATCCTACCCTTACTGACATAGCTAAATAACATGTCCCTACTCTACCATCAAAAACTAGCTATTAAACTCTCTTGGCTCTTCACTAGCCAAGTCCATGTGTCCTCTAGAGCCGGCCACACCGTGCTCAAACATTAAAGTTATATCATCAGACTGAACTTTCAGTCATCCGGGAGCGTACTACAGAACTATCAGGTACACATCCGTGTACTAACCACTCCTGGCGATTATTTGTATTTGTAGAACACGTGGGTGAAGCATTTTCTCCGTTGTGGTTCGAGCAATCCTCGCCACCTCGGAGCTAGTTTCCTGCTCTGATTGGCGGGCGCAGCCTCATTCACTCTCAATACGAGGCTTCCTTCCTTCAACTCAAGAGGGCGCACTTTCTTGTCATAACAATGAGCATACCGAGTCCGTGCCTTCTTGGACGCTTCAGCTGCAATATTCCATGCATTTCTCATTTTACCAAGGACCTCTGAAGGATAGTCCTCCCCGTATGCAACATTATGTCTGTTAAGCAGACCTGAGGGGAAATTGCATGAATTACCAGTAAACAAATGAAGTGGTTGGGTGTTAATTGATTGGTGGATGGCAGTATTCAAGGCGAACTGAACATAGGGTAGGTGTTCATCCCAGGTGTTTGCATCATGTTCAGCAAGGATTGCAAGCATATCCTTGACTGAACGATTAGTCCGTTCCGTCATTCCGTTTGCTTGTGGGTGGTAGGCCGTTGTAAAAGCCGAAGCTGTCTCTAAAATCTTACAAACTTCTCTAAATATATTCCAATTCGTCAGTGAAGCACTTGTTCCGGAAGTGTTCGAACGAAATCAGTTGTGACTTGTGTGTAAACCGTTTTTCATTCATAAACACCTGGAGGTTTGGCGGGTGCATAGAATCACTTTTGGGTTTTTGTTTGGAGGACGGGCTGTGCATCTTGGAACACCCAGTGCATAGGTTCGAATCCTCATCACGGCTCCTGTGGATTTTCTCATTGATAAATCACGATAATGAGAGTTCTGAATATACCAAATAATCATAACTCCAATATCCAACCCGCTCTCACACAAGACAGCAGATATATGACTTATTACTTATAGTCACTATTTCGCTTATAAATAAGTAAAAATGTGGCATATTCCAAGCCATATTTTTTATGGCTTGGCAATATCTGATTGCATTCAGATTTGGAAATTTCAACAATCCAGACGACGTCTGCTTATCCTATTAGCATTTCCTGGCCGTAGAATGCAACATTTGTCAATGTTAAAAGACACTGTAAATATTTTTAATTTTTTAAGTCTATCTGTGTGTCTTGTAACGATTTTGTGGATTATCCTGAATATATTTTAGTGTTATTGGAAAACTTGCGAGTGTTGCCGATCATTAATGTGTGTAAATCACTGCCTCACTTGGTAAACAGCAGAGGCTCCATGACAGGTAAACAGAGGCTCCATGACAGGTAAACAGCAGAGGCCCCATGACTGAGGTAAACAGCAGAGGTCCCATGACAGAGGTAAACAGCAGAGGCCCCATGACAGAGCAGAGAGGCTCTTGCAGTTTCCCCACTGGGACATAACCCGCTAATCACTGTACCATTGGCGCACATAACTATCTCGTCAGCAAAGAATATTAGCAATATAATGCGAGAGGAACATTAAGGCTTCAGAGCAAATAATATTAGGCGACTTTATTAATCATAAAATATCTGTTTAAAGGAATATATTTTTGATAGTTAAGTCGGACAAAGGATGACACATTCTATATCATCCTCACACTCCGAGGTCTCAATGTTGAAGATCTGTACCCCTGGACATCGGAATACCGATTTGTCCGGAGGTGAGCACAGGTAGAACTGGTGACAGTCGGTGGGGTCTATAACACGTTGGCCGGAGGTGGTACAGTGAGGCTCGCAGAGATCACAGTAGGGGTAGCAGAGGGTCTCGTCGGTCTGGCAGACTTGTTTTCTGAAGTCAAAATATGGGGTTGCCACGTCACACTCATACTCTAAGTAAATGTTAGGTTCTTGCAAGCAAACGTCGTATTTAGAACAATCTAAGGGATTAGGTTCAACGGTGCCTGGGTTGTTCCCGTTACAGTCTGGGATGCAGGGGTCACAGAGCGGGGAGCAGAAGCCGTTAAGTGCTCCTTGGATGGGGTCACATCGGGGCGTCGTGTGGGCAGTGTTGAAGTAATATCCGTCTGTACACTCGACTGGGTCCTTCGACGGTGTATTCACTCCTGTATTGACAATATAATATTACCTTTATTAGGAATTAATCTTAATCCACCCAAAGGCATGTTTTAGGACATGGTATATGTAACATATAGATATAGTTGTGAGCTTGGATTCCTTACCGTTGATATCGATGCAGACGTAGTACCTGGTGCAGTCGGTGGGGTCCCTGACATCGGTGTTGGGGTCAGCATTTGAGCAGTCTGGGGCACACAGCTGTACGCTTCGCCTCACCTGTGGGGAATAGGAGACAGGTCATCCACACGCAGTTCCTACAGTTGTCCACCGACTGATGCAACCAAGTAAATATGTCGAAAAGTAGTGACATTTGTAGGTGTAAATTGAGAGAGAGTGTGTTTGAGAGTTGGCGAGTGTATTTATGTGAGAGAGTGTGTGTGTGTGTATGAGAGAAGGAGAGAGTGAGTGAGTGCGTATGAGAGAGTGAGTGTATGTGAGGAGAGAGTGACTATGTGAAAGAGAGAAAGTGAGTGTGTGTGTGTGTGTGAGTATGAGAGAGAAATGAAGTATATGTGTGTGAGAGAAAGTGAGTAAATCTGTGACAGGGAGAGAGTGAGTGTATGTGTGAGAGAGTGTATCTGTGTGTATGTGAGAGAGAGTGTGTGTATGTATGAGAGGGAGAGAGAGAACATACCCGTAACCCTACATAAAACGAAGGAACAGCCTCGTATGGGCCAATTGATCTTCAGCAATGTCTTATTCTCTTAAGCTGTATGGCTTTCGTATGCCAAACTGAGCAGTGTTGATTGAGTTAGTGGGAGATATTGACTTACGGCGAGAGAGAGGAGCAGCAGCAGGAGGGTTTGTGTGGTGGGGAGCATGTCGACAGTGTGACTGGCCTCACACCATCACGCTCCGCTCTTATATACTGTACATGTTCCCCCACCCTCCCACCCAGTACACCCTCTTCTTATATCTAGTACACCCACCACACCACCTGCTAACACTCTTCTTGGAAGAGTGTTAGCTTAAACTTCCTAACCTGTCACTTCTATGACGTTTTCTCTCCATGTCCCACATCTTCCCTTCTGTAATAATAATAATTATTGTTATTATTTTATAATAATAAGTTATAATAATTCATCACAATGAAATCACTATGGCGTGACGTATCAATGAAAATAATTTTTGAGACAATGGAGAACTTGAACCAACGTTCCGTTGATTATCAGACCCTTGCCTTAACCGACTCGGCCACGATGGGTTAAAAATCACCCAACCTGGAAATTCTACTGAATATACTGGGAGGATGATACATCACGCCATTGTGACTGTATTGTGTTCATCACATTGTCCATCACGTGTTAATTTCTTCGTGATTTACACAAATATATAGGTGACTCGAACCAGCAATCAGAGTACTCTCAGCCGCACACCTCACCTCTGTACTACGACCTGATATAAGTTTTACAACCTGACGTTTCCAATGAATCGACAGGTAGTGTGGAGGCCCCTACTGAAGGTAGTGTAAGTGTTACACACATAACCCCCAACACGCTGGTGCAGAAGAAGTAGTTCACCAAACATACGCTCCAGCATAACATATGCAAAGAAGTCACACTAACGAAAATCAATGAGAAAATCATTGATATATATATATATATATCACACTAAGGTATTCATTTACGATGCTTCAGAAAAAAAGAGATAATTCCAAAGGGTGACGCTGAGCAATAAGACTCACGTCTCTAAGACTTCATGATGATATTTTGCTTGTAATAACTATCAAAATGACATGTCTAAGAGGGCTAGTTATTTATAATGGAGCGAGGTGAATTAATGTTGAGATGAGGATTATAAGTAACGGATTAAGAATGGATTAATCTGTTCGATGGCTACAACCATTCACTTACTATTCATCAACGAGTGTTTGATGACAGTCTACCAGTTGACAAGACCTGTGACGGGGCCGCTGGGACCAGTCGACAAGACCCGTGACGGGGCCGCTGGGACCAGTTGACAAGACCCGTGACGGGGCCGCTGGACCAGTTGACAAGACCCGTGACGGGGCCGCTGGACCAGTTGACAAGACCCGTGACGGGGCCGCTGGGACCAGTCGACAAGACCCGTGACGGGGCCGCTGGGACCAGTTGACAAGACCCGTGACGGGGCCGCTGGGACCAGTCGACAAGACCCGTGACGGGGCCGCTGGGACCAGTTGACAAGACCCGTGACGGGGCCGCTGGGACCAGTTGATAAGACCCGTGGCGGGGCCGCTGGGAGCCGAGTCTACCGGGCCCGAGTGTTTCCGGTCACACCGACGACTCCTTCGCCAGCGGAGGCCCCAGTCTCGGTGTTGTGGGTTTTACACGAACTTCCAAGTGAAGAGATAAGTCCGCTGAATACAGACAGCTACCACCTGACGCCTCGTGAGACCGGACACAGGTGCAGACGACAGTTCGTGGCTGTTGGTGATGGTGGCCGCTGGTTGACTCTTTCATAGAACCAAATGGTTCTATGAAATTGTGAAGAGGAGGCTTGTAGTGAGAATGGCCAATATGGGATCGTTGCTTAAGTGATTAGGCTATGAGTGGTTGTTGTCGGGGAAGTTGTGAGGTTAAGAGTTTCAGATGGAGGTTGTTGGAATGAGGTTACAACACAGAATGAATATATGAGGCTTGAGGGTTGGATTGAAAATTAGGCTTGAGGCTTACAACATATGAGGCTTGAGGGTTGGATTGAAAATTATTAGCTAGGAAAATCCCTCTTTGTGATAACTGTGTCATTTACAAAATAACGTGTAAGGAGTGTGATGCATAATAAATAGGACAAAAAAAAAATTTGAAATTTAGGAGTCCTCAACATGTATGTTCAGTTAAATGTTGCCAAATGTCTAATGCTTTATTCATAAAATTGTATGTAAATTTTCACCGAATTGACTGGAAGTTTTTTCTATCACCAATTGCAAAAGTATTTTAAAATGAATATTATTAAAATTGTTTTATTACAATTTATTAAAACATGTAATATAGATATTAGCAATACATAATATATCTTTATTCAATTTTTTAACTGGAAAAGATCTAAAAGAGGATTAATAGGCAACTATTCCTATTGAAACAGGAACTTGAACATGATTTTAGACCTCTCCAAAACTTTGTTTATCCATCTCATCTGTCACTCTTCTATCCCGGTGTATATACATATACATACGACCTCTGTATTAATTTTATCATGGCACCTGAACATGCGTTGAAATATACACGAAAACGCTTAAGTATCTCATTTTCCTTCGGTATCTTAAACCCACTACACATAGAGAGAAGTGTGTACAGTAATACGTTTAGTGGAATGCTTTAACAAATGCTGGAAATTCTACCATGTACCCTGTCCGTTGTGTGTGCTTAAATGGTTTATTACATCTGTCTAAGAATCAGTGTTTCTCACCAACATTTGCAAATTATTATTAGAATAATAATAATTACTTTTATTGTTATTATTACAAATGGGAAGCTGTGGAGCATGGAGAGAAAAGGTCATAGAGGTGACAGGTTGGGAAGTTTCAGTTTGTCCAAGAAGAGTGTTAGCAGGTGGTGAGGTGAGTGTACTAGATATAAGAAGAGGGTGTACTGGGTGGGTGTTAGGTGGGAGGGGAGGAACGTGTACAGTATATAAGAGCGGAGCGTGATAGTGAGGCCAGTCACACTGTCGACATGCTGACCACCACACACACCCTCCTGCTGCTGCTCCTCTCTCTCGCCGTAAGTCTATATCTCCCACTAACTCAACCAACACTGCTCAGTTTGGCATACGAAAGCCATACAGCTTAAGAGAATTCAACATTATTGGCCCATACGAGGCTGTTCCTTCGTTTTTTTGTAGGGTTACGTTAAAGAATTTAGTTTGTATCCACTGTTTATTCATATTGTGTTTTATCTATTTGGCACGTCATTTATATCCCCGTTTTTATGCCTTTTTCATCCATTTATATTTCAAGCAACCCACACCTTATTCTTCGCCTTTCTAGAAAATTAAAATTAATAATGCTAAAATCTCTTTGTAAAAATGGGACGTTCCTAATTCTTGGAATTAACTTCTTCGTTGTTATTCTATGTACACATTCAGATAAATTGATGTCCTTTCTATGGTAAGTGAAAAAAAATCCATTTTTAAGAAGGGTGACCAACTGTCCATTCCATAGTAGCTTGAACAATAGTTTCAATTCTGAAGTAGTGACAAAAACTGTTTATTCTAAAGAAGGGTGACCAAAAGTGTTCATTATATAGTAGGGTGACCAGGACTGAAATTCAGTGTCAAGAAGAGGCCTAACAAGGGCAAGATAAATTTGAGGAATAACATAACACAAAAAGGTTGAGGTTTTACTAGTAGTAGTAATTATGAAAAAAAGCGTTAAGGCAGAATGATTATATAGGTTATTTAGGTTTAAGATCCACACTAATCATGACTTCGAGATCTCCTTCAGTTCCAGATTGGCAATTTTAATATTGTTCAGCTGATTGCTGGTAATTTTACTGTCGTTATCTACACTCAGAACCATACATTGTGAGGTTGTTTCTTACTGAGAAGTTAGGCTGTTGGTGAGTGATGTTGTTCCAGAGTAGTGAAGCTCTTCCTTAAAGACTAACGAGGCTGTTTCTTAGTGAGTAGTGAGGATCTTAATTAAAGACTAGCTAGGCTGTTCCTTATAAAGAGTAGTGGGCCTGTTCTTAAAAATCTGATATGCCTGTCTGTTGTGTAGCGAGGCTGTTCCTTTGGGACTAGTGAGACTATTCTTTAAAAACAATGTGCTTGTCTGTTATATTGTGAGGCTGTTCTTTAGGGACCATAGAGGCTGTTCCTTAGCATGTTAGAGAAGATTTTTTTTTAATAATTGAGACGTGGGAACTATATGGCAAGATGCAATTCCCGGGGGAGTGTTTGAATGCGTTATCAACAATATGTTTTGCACTTTCAAAATAAAGAGAATTAAATCTAGTGTATTAATAAAACACTGTATCATTTGTCTTTGTATGCCAAGATTATTTATCAGTAAGGATGCCGTGTTGCTCATCCTTACTTGTACCGCATCCCAAATTTAATAGTACCGATTTCTTCTTTCTAATTGTCGTTTACGTCAATATATGTACGATGGTCTTCATCCCTACTGTAAGTACTACCTAAACAGGACGATGGGCTGAAAATCAGACATTGGTTATATAATGAGCAATCCCAGAATTTTGTCAATGTCGTTAATTTACACTTATGGGGTTGTTGGCTTACTTTGGTTGTGGTTTAATTCGGCAGTATAGCCACCTCACCTCCAACAACCTATATACTTAAATGGCCAAGTTTTTGGTCGCTACGCCCTTAGACACCTGAAGATGTAACCTGACCAAATTTCACATTCACTCTGAAAATCTATACCACTTACGGGCAATTCACGCCAGTGCTGTAGCTTAATCTTCATCAATCAATCAAGTTTTGGGTTCTGGGGAAGAAATACTTAAACAGTAGCGAGACTGAAACAGTGTGGTTGCCCTGAAGAAGGTTTTTCAACCGTTGGGCAACTATTGCAAGAGTTATTGCTTTCTCTACGTGACGTGACGTGTTGGGTAGCTATCCCTACCATGTGTCCAATGGACGACCCTCCTCCACCTGTTGATTTGTTAGTCAGTGCCTAGATTAACAGTAAATTAGGAGTGGTTGCTAAATTATTGTGAATTGAAATATCGAATTAGTATTATTAAATCGACTTAATGCTTACTTATTAACCATTAATTGCAAAGTCCACATCTCAATTTATCAAATTGCCTTAATAGGACTACTCCAGTTCCATTATTATCTCATGGAGGCAGGACGGGTTGACGCTGACAAAGAAATTATTGTATCAGCTCATCTTATTAGTTAACTTGAAATAATTGGTGTAACAGAGGACAATTCCTCAAATATTTAATTGTAGCAAGGGAAATTTAGTATTGTCATTCAAGTTTTTTTGGCTCTTTAAGTTGGAGAATATTTCCCACAGCGCTGTCTCTATAAGTCCACTACGGGCTCACTATAGCCCGTGCTACTTGGAACGACTGTTTTAAGTAGTTGAATCTAACACAACAACAGCTGTCCTTACAATGGTGTCATGAGCAGTAGCCTCAGGCGACCAGAAGGCTCTCCACAGTAGCCTCAGGCGACCAGAAGGCTCTCCACAGTAGCCTCAGGCGACCAGAAGGCTCTCCACAGTAGCCTCAGGCGACCAGAAGGCTCTCCACAGTAGCCTCAGGCGACCAGAAGGCTCTCCACAGTAGCCTCAGGCGACCAGAAGGCTCTCCACAGTAGCCTCAGGCGACCAGAAGGCTCTCCACTCTTCCTCTGCAGTCACTCGTTGGAATTTTGAGTATTTGTTGATAGTCTACTAGTTAAATATCGTTCCTTCTCTCTCTCAAACATACACTCACTTTTTTTTCTAAGTAGCTGAATCTGAAAGAACAACAACGGAGAGGCCAGTCTCTCTCTGTCACACTCATTCTCCTTCTCTCTCACACATACACTCACTCACTCTCACTCTTTCAATTTACACATACAACTACCGCAACTTTTCGACATATTTACTTGTTTGTATCAGTCGCTGGACAACTGTAGGAACTGCGTGTGGATGAACTGTCTCATATTCCTCACAGGTGAGGCGGAGTGTACAGCTGTGTGCCCCAGACTGCACAGGTGCTGACGACGGGACCGATGTCAGGGACCCCACCGACTGCACCAGGTACTACGTCTGCATTGAAATCAACGGTAAGGAATCCAAGCTCACAACTATATCTATATGTTACATATACCATGTCCTAAAACATGCCTTTGGGTGGATTAAGACTAATTCCTAATAAAGGTAATATTATATTGTCAATACAGGAGACATTACGCCGTCGAAGGACCCAGTCCAGTGTACAGACGGATATTACTTCAACGATGCCCACACTACACCCCGGTGTGACCCCATCGATGGAGCCCCCGACGGCTTCTGCTCCCGGCTCTGTGACCCCTGCATCCCAGACTGTAACGGGAACAACCCCGGCACCGAAGAACCTAATCCCACAGATTGCTCTAAATTTGACGTTTGCCTGACTGATCCTCACATTTACTTAGAGTATGAGTGTGACGTGGCAACCCCATATTTTGACTTCAGAAAACAAGCCTGCCAGACTGACGATACCCTCTGCTACTCCTACTGTGATCTCTGCGAGCCTCATTGTACCACCTCCGGCCAACGTGTTATAGACCCCAAGGACTGTCAACAGTTCTACCTGTGCTCACCTCCGGACCAATCGGTATTCCGATGTCCAGGGACTCAGGTGTTCGACATTGAGACTTCGACGTGTGGCGATTTTGACTGTGTCATCCTTTGTCCAACTTAACTAAAAAATGTATTTTCCTTTCGACAAGTATTTTGTGATTAATAAAGTCGCCTATTATTATTTTATATTGTTTGCTCTGAAGCCTTAATGTTCATCTCACTTTATGTTGCCAATATTCTTCCACTTCCACAATAAATATAATAAATATGTAATGTTTAATTTAGCTGAAACTGTCTTTGACATTACTGTAATACGTCCAGCCTTAACCTTAAGGGTAACCTTAAGAAGCCCACTCATCAAATACCTGTCTGACTACTGGGAAGATGTTCATACTGTTAAGATGGTTTGTCTTGACACCTGTTACAGTGGTACAGTCACCAACCAGTTATATGAACCAATGGTACAGTGACTAGCGACTTATATGCGTCAGTCATACAGTAACTAACAAGTTACGTACGTCAGTGGTGCAGTGATAAACATTTAAATATATTCCATTGTGAAAAACAGTGATATACTGTATCTCGACCGGCAAAGCCTTTGATACTGTGCCTCACGCAAAGCTTATTAGAAAAGAAGAATCGCAAGGTACTGGAGGAGACGTCTTAACCGGAATGGGGACATGGTTATTTAAGTAGAAACAAAAGGTTAATTAATGGAATTACGTCCCAGTGGGGCAACTGAAAGACCCTCAGGGCTCTGTCATGGGGCCTCTGCTGTTTACCGTATACAGGATCTTGAATTTTGAAATTGCAAGATCTTAGAGTCATGATCATTTTGGCACAGTAGCCAAAATATACATTGCTATACCAATGTAGAAAATGAATAAGAATTATAATAGGATTCTTAAGTTTTATAGGTTAAAGGAGAGATGAGGTTAGGCTTCAGCTTTATCTTGCCATTGTTAGACTCAATTTAGATTACATAAAAAGGCAACATATACATGAACATTTTGAACTAGCTTTATAATCCCGTTATGACATTAGGCTTGTAATGGAATATCAGAGCTCTGATGTCCTTACATTACTTATATATATGGTCATGCAAAAATATAATTAAAGAATTGATTAAATTACCTTTTACCGCATTGAAAAAACTATTCAAATGAAATTCCTATCACAATTACCCTTATTTCCCATTTTCATGGGATTGGGAGGCATCTGCCCGGCAGTTAGAAGAAAGTAAGCGAGATGAAAATTGTTAGATACTTAAAAGAGACTCCTTCCATTCACTGTGATATCCACCCGACGTCACGTAGCGACCCGCAGAGTCAGGCAGGATATCTTACCCAGGAGGTACACGATGTCTTTACGTCAAGTAACCTTATGTAAAGTTAACTTATGTCAAATTACAATTTGTCAAGTTATATTACGTCAAGTTACCTAATGTCAAATTTACGTCGTTACCTGATGTTAGGTTAACTTACGTCAAGTTACCATGAATCAAGTTGCATTACGACAAGTTAATTTATATAAAGTTACCATGTGTAAAGCTATTTAACATCAGGTTACCTTACTTCAAGTTACTTTATGTCAAGTTGCCTTATGTCGAATTATCTTAGGTCAAGTTACCTAACAAATTATCTTATGTCAAGTTACCTAACGACAAGTTACCTTCCATCCAGTTATCTTACATCGAGTTACCTTTCGTCGAGTCATCTTACATCAAGTTATTTTACACCAAGTAACATTACTTCAAGTTACATTACGGCAAGTTACTAACGCAATAAATTTACACGTAACTAGAGATAAAAACAAGCTGGAGAAACATTGCATTATGAGGGGCGTAGGGAAGAACCAGTTAGGCAATGGCGTTGTGGGTGAGTGGACTAGGCTGCCAGTTAAGAGTTGCTGAGAATTTAACAAGTCTCACGAACAGGTTGAACAGGTGTATGAGGTGAGAGTTAGAGAATAGTATAGTATGGAGCCAATAGGGCAGTTGTGGTGCTACTTAATTCTTACGTTCGTTTGTTCTTCGTAATTATTAGGCTTTCGCGTCGCATATTATTAAGTTTTAGTTATTGAGCAGTTGCATGGCAACGTCTTCCTCCTGCCCAGACCCCCACACTCCAGCTGGCGATGTTCACACGCACCTTAAAGTCTGAGAACACGCAGCATACCCATTCTGCCCCCCCTTTTCCCCATAATTTCACCCGCCCTCCTATCGCTTTTCCGGGTACCAACATATCCCTCTGCCCCCCCCCTGCCTCACAGCTTGCACCCTTCTCATGAGACTACATTATCGAGACGCTCTGATATCGCCCTTGTCAAGGAGGGGTGTGTGCGTATGTGTGTGAGGCGGAACTTATCTCATGGGACCTACAGCCTAGGCAGCTGGAGCACTGTAAACATGTATGCAGTTGGGAAACGAATTAAGATAACAAACATAGGAATACAGGAAATCGCAGAAGGCTTGTTGTTCCATAAGAGGCTGCTCCTATTTATAATTTAGCCAGGCGCGCTCCTATGTGTCTATGTAATGGATATACTTGCACCATTCACCCCGTATGTTTAGTGCGTAAGCCTATTAATTTCACAGTGAATGATTTGTTGTTGAGGTACTGTGTTCTCACCTGCTTCATGGAGGAAGTTGCTGCTGTGTATTTGACACTGAAGGATATGTAGTCTACACAACGATACATCACTGGACTATGGTGAGCTTATAAATCAACAACCTGATAGTACAACATCAGGTTGTGTTGTTTTTAAGCTCATAAACAATTTCGAGCTCTAGGCACAGTAGGAAATTAATGCTACCCAGAGCAGAGGCTAAAGGGGAAAGTATAAGCCACTAACCAGTCCAAAGTCAGAGGCCCCTGCTGCAGTAGACCCTTTATCTATACCCAGGCAGAGGTTCAAGGCCCAGTATGCTCTTAATCCGTCCCGAGGCAGAGCCTCCGGGTACAGCAAGTCCTTTATCTGACCCTAAGCAAGGCTTCTACGTCATGTAGATCAATAATCCATCCTCTGCCCTCCCTGATTTTTATCCCATTTTCAGATAAAAAAAGTACTCCTTTCAGACAAGTGTCTGCACGTGATCACAATGAAATAGGGAGTGAGCTGGGGAACAGTGGTCACAGGGAAATAGTAAGAGAAAATTCTGTTAAGGTGCTCGATGTTGAAGAAGATGTTTATATAGTTTTAGGATAGTTTATAAAGCGCTGAACATGGGAGGTAGCTGTTCTTGAGACGTGATGTGGACCTCACGATGGGTGACGTGACAAGGGATAACGATATAAATTAAAATTATAACTTATTTAAATATTCTCTTAGTAAAGCCCAGGAACGTATTGTTCCTTATAAATTTATCACTTCAAATAATAACCCCAAATGGATAACCATGGGCCTTTTATGTAGAAGTAAAGCCTTGTACAAAAGAATTAAGAATTGGAAAGTCAATCAAGAACAAAAATTTGTCAAAATAATTACAAGTAACAAAAAATGAGCATAAAAAGTATGTTGGACGCACAACAGAGCAGGCAAAGACGATTCCTAAACAGTTTCTTCAGTTATGTCAAACAAATTTAAGGAGATAACTAGTTTATTAAAAACTGAGACAGGTAAGATTGATAGTGGCACAGAAATTGAGTAGTATTTTAAATGATTGATAGTGGCACAGAAATGAGTAGTATTTTAAATATATATTTCGTTTCCATTTACTAGATTTTTAAGAAAGGAGATAGTTCTCTTGCGTAGAATTATCGGCCAGTTAGCTTAACATCAATTGTGGTAAAAATGCTTGACTTAATAATTGTAAATGACATTCAGTGACATCTTAAAAAACGTAGATTAATAAAATAATCACAACAGGGTTTTACTAAGGACTCGTCGACGTTGGCAGACAATATACTAATGGATTGGCTCCTCATGTTTAAATTTTGGAGGAGGCAGATTTGTAGGTCGTGTATGATAGTCAGGTGTGTGTGTATTGGGTAACCAGCTCAGCGACCTGCAGAGCGCGGATGTGGGAAACGAGGCATCTGGCGGGTGTGTATAACAGATCTCAATATTTCTTGGTCTGTTCCAATATTATGTCTTCAAACATTTGATCCTGTCTATATCAATCTTTTTAGGTTCTGCAGGCGACTTCCTGATGCGCTCCGCTGAGACAGTTTTCAGCAGTGTGCCGTCACTCAGTTAAGATGAAGCACGACCAAGCTACCTGGCAGGGGGACAGTCTAGCCTCATAACCAGATGAGCTTCCGATAATTTAATACATCAGCAGACGATAGTCACAATAACGTGACTGAAAAAAAAGGTCGTCGTTTCTTCATTTTCTAATGAGTGGTTTGGTCATCTTAGTACATCAGTTTAGTGACGCTGTGAGCGCTCGAGAGGACTGGCTGACTTAGCTACCGATTCGACAGTTGTTGTTTTAGATTCAGCTACTGGGAACAAAAGGTTGCAAGTAGCACGGGCTATGGTGATCCCGTAGGGGACTTAACTGGCACAGGAGCGGGGCTGTAACTGATCAACAATTGAGTCCCGTGTTGCTGAGGTTAGTTATACTGCACCTCTTTCACCTCTTCCTCTAACTTCACGACAGTTTATCATGTGCAACGGAGCTTTACACAGATTCCAAAAAGGGAGAATCAAGATGAAATATATCCACATATTAAAACATTTATTCAAACGTTGACATTCACTAACTCAAGTCAGAAAGTTAAACAAAGATTAGTACAGTTGGTAGCAGGCGCACAGATCAGGTCGTCAGGGTCGAAGGCCTCTCCTTCAGGGCAGAGGAAGGGTGCTGTCTCCGGAGGGTCGCAGTAGAAGTACCCCCAGCAGTTATTGGGGTCGGGAGTCTTGCCCTCCGCCACGCAGTATGTCTCGCAGGGGTCACAGGCGTTGTAGCACAGGGAGGCGTCGTCAGTACACATTCCCGTCTGGAAATCGAAGTATGGGTGCTCGACGGGACACGCTACGTCCAAGGAGGAGCCGTCATCAAGGCAGATTTTATACAAGTTACAGTTCAATGGGTATGGTAATAAACTACCTGAAATTCAGATGAAACATGAGAAGTGGTAAGTTAATATGTTATTCCATTAAATATATATATACACGGTGAATATCTAAAGAACAAAGAGATAGAGAGAGAGAGAACTAAGAGAAGACAACAACGCTGGCGTTACAGAGACTGCTACAACGCTGACCTGGGTCTACACACTGCAGGTGACACGGGTTGCACAGATTTTTGCAATAGTCGGTATTCGGGACGATCTTCTCGCACTCCATCACGCTCGCCGCCGCGTTGAAGAAGTACCTGCAGGAGGAGCACCTGGTTACTCCCAGCCCTGGCGCCTGGATCAAGCGCGGGAGATACAAGCAGAAGACGGGAGGGATTTGTGTATGTGGCTGCCTACGAATCGTTGTCAAAGATGAATAAGGGATAAATATCTCAATATTCGAGTTCCGTCACACAGTGGAGAAGACTGACCCAGTAGGACAGGTGCTGGGGACCAGGGAGGGAACGAGCGTGCCGGAGCCGTCAGGGTCGCTGCAGTAGTAGTAGCGAAGACAGTTGACCGGGTCCTTCACCTTCCCGCCCTCCCTCGCGCCAGAACAGTCCGCCACGCATAGCTCCACCGACGCCTGTGCCTGCTGGGGGGCGGTACACATTACAGTGTTACTGGGGGACGGTACACATTAGTGTTGCTGGGGGCACGGTACACATTACGGTGTTGCTGGGGGCACGGTACACATTACGGTGTTGCTGGAGGCACGGTACACATTACGGTGTTGCTGGGGGCACGGTACACATTACGGTGTTGCTGGGGGCACGGTACACATTACGGTGTTGCTGGGGGCACGGTACACATTACGGTGTTGCTGGGGGCACGGTACACATTACGGTGTTGCTGGGGGCACGGTACACATTACAGTGTTGCTGGGGGCATGGTAGACATTACAGTGTTGCTGGGGGGACGGTAGATTTAGTGTTGCTGGGGGGACGGTAGATTTAGTGTTGCTGGGGGGACGGTAGATTTAGTGTTGCTGGGGTTAAGGAAAACATTACAGTGTTGATGAAGGTCCGATAGATATTACAGGGGTACGGTACATTTACAGTGTTGCTGAGGGTGCTGGGGTGTTGCTGTTGAACAAGTGTTCTTGTGTGTAAGGTAGAGGGAGTGTTACTGTGGGCAACACTCCCCCTGTACCTTCTTTCACCAACCTCGAGGTGATCTCGTTAGCTGGAGCCCCTAAGGACAGTTCGCTGTTGTCTTCAATCTCTTTCTGACATTTCCTGCGACGGCGCTGGAACCAATCATATTCGTTCCAGCGACGGCGCTGGAACGGCGCTGGAACCAATCATATTGGTTCACCTGCGTCACCCGCCTGGGGTGACGCAGGTGGCGGCGGGCCACCAGTTGCCGAGGGTGATTGATTGATTGATGAAGATTAAACCACCCTAAAGGTGGCACGGGCCTTAATAGCCCGTAAGTGGTGGTTCTTTGGAGCCATTACCAGCATCATTAGCTGATACTGGAGATCTGTAGAGGTGCGACTGCACCCTACGGAGAGGTCGTTACCTCTGTGTGCCGAGGGGGAACGCACCAACCTCTTATACCATAGTTCATCCTCATAATTACCCCACCATAGAAAACGTATATCATTTTTTTTAATATACTGTATAACTAAAATATGTTTACGTTGAACTGCATGGATACTGTCGAAACTATTTCTTTTTAAAACAATACATTATGAAACTAGTTTATATCAATATTAATACGAAATACAAATATATACATAGATAATAACAGCAGAAAATACGGAAGTCAATCTCAATTAAACTGTTGACTGTTTCACGGGAGGGTCCCGGTAGTACAGTAGGGTTCGTTCTCGAGTCATAATCTATTTATTTATTTATTTATTTATGCATATACAAGAATGTACATAAGGAATGTGAGGATACAAATATGGTAATTACAGTCTTGTAAAGCCACTAGCACGCGCAGCGTTTCGGGCAGGAAACTTCATCGAGAATCCCGAGTTCCAATCTCAGTCGAGACAGAAACAGTTGGGCACATTTCCTATCACCTAATGCGTCTGTTCACCTAGCATTTAAGTAGCTACCCAGGCTCAGCTTGTTGTTGAAGTTGTACCCCCGGCGGGGTCAGTAATTCGACCTTAGGGAAGGGGCCTCGATATAAGCCTAACATGTACGAATACACCCTGGCTGCCTGTCCCCCGACACATTGAATTAATTATTACTGATGTTATAGCAACTCTTGTAAGTAGGATGAGTACGGGATTCTTGTCTGTAAAGTAGCATTAATTTGCTACTAGCGAGCGCTTTGGCCTGGGTTCGTATCCTGGCCGGGGAGGATTGACTGGGAACCAATCCTTAACTGTAGCCTGTGTTTACCCAGTAGTGGATGGCTACCTGGTTGTTAAACCATTTCGCGGGTCGTATTGTGGAGAACAATTAGGATTCTGGACCTGCCCGAAACGTTATGCGTGCTAGTGGCTGTACAAGAATGTAAGAACTCTTGTATATAGAAATAAATTAAAAACAAATCAACAGAATTTTGACATAATAAATGAAATGGTAATTAACCTGAGGTGCTTCGTACCAGAAGGAAGAGAGATGAGACAATGGCCAAGAACAGCATGTTGATGGGGGGATGGGTAGTGTGGTGATGGGTGACTGTGTTGGCGCTTTATAACCCTCCCACCACCGTCACCCAGCTGCCAACCTTCCCACCTGACCCTGACACTCAGGTCTGCTCATCATATATCCTCCCTCCTCCGCCCCATCCCCCCCCCCCCTGGCTACTCCCGCCTGATAAACATCATGGGGGAACACGCCCCCCTGAGGGAGAGGTGGTGGACCCCTTCATGGTCGGTGGCCGGGAGGGAGGGGGATGATGGAGAGGTTCCGGAGTAAGGCTCCATGTGGGGGGAATACTTTTACAGCGGCACTTGGAGACAGACGAGGCCAGGGAGGACGAGATGGACCTGATGTCGACATCTGCGAGGCACTACACATCAAAAAGTCAACACCAGCAATCAACAACCAATTAATGCACAACTATATGCTACCCACTTCAAGACTCTGAACCAATATAGAAGCATCAAGAGGAAATGTTGATGTTATGGGCCAATAGGCCTTCTGCAGTTACTTCCATTCTTATGTTTTTATACCCATTGGTTAGTGTTCTGTCATGTGTAAATGTCAATCACCTCACCCAAAACTTTTGTACCATATCATCTCACCCAAATGCGAGTATAAGTATGGACGTATTTTGCGTGTTTATCAAAAAGCACCGCTCCTGTGCCAGGTAAGTCCACCACGGGCTCACCATAGCCCGTGCTACTAGGAACTTCTTCCGAGTAGCTGAATTTATAACAACAACATGCGTGTTTACAGGTTACAGTTGTGTGTGCAAAGTGAAGTCTTTGAAAATGTAATAAGTTATTACGAAACGCGTTCAGGCGTCGCATCAGACTAGAAATAAAAATGAATTTTGGAGAATTGATTTTTCAATTACCATCGACAGTGAAAAGAAACATAAGAAATATTGAGAAAATTCGTGTTAGAATTATTAATCTTACCTTGCTGGAGCCAGAATACTCAGATTGTAAACTCTGTGATAAACCTTTAATGCATTCACTAGAACACTATATTGATGAATGTGAAACCGTAGAGGACTTTAGACCTCCTGGCCTCTTGTACCACCAACTGTGTAACTATTTTATTGACTCAGGTGTTCTGGACGACATCCTAACAATTTACCCAAAATTTGCTTGTCCATTTTAAAGAATGAAGAACAATTTTTATTTATATTACTTATAAGCTGTATCACTTATGAACCCATCCCTGCCCTTGTGTGGCAGTGCACAATAGAAAGTTGTTTTCACATATCCATACATTAAAACATTGATTGTAACCATGATATATATGTACTTCCGCCTACAATTCAGACCTATTGTCTTATGCATGTCCCTCTGTCCTGTGTGACAGTGAATACCAGCATTATCCTCACTTTAATAAGACTATCAAAATCCTCAGATTAGGCAAAATTGTAATTAATTTTGTCAATAAAAATGTTAATAATAATAATAACCTTGCTGGAGGGCCTCAAGGGTGACAAGTACGGCTGGGAAGTCATGACAGACTTCAGAATAGCAACATTCCTGATGGCTCTCCAAGCCAGTTTTACCAAGTTTCCCCTGCTATCTTTGCCTTAGTGACACTAGGGACACCAGTGAAATAGAAAAGACGCAAATTCATTCGTTTTTCTCTCTGGAAATATGCAAATTTCCAAATATAAATATCACTGGGTCACAAAGGCAAAGTTTTCAGCGGAATAATAGCTATTTTCTATAGTTTTTAGGCATAATCAATTAGAAAATATATATTAGCCAGGAACGAAAATTAGGAACATTGTGTAAGTCAAGACTAAACAAAACATTAAGGGTTAGCGACCAAGAGAAAATGAAATGCTATTTTATTTCTGACAATTCATTTATCACTCTCATATCTAGCCGACTGTGCGCCATCAGTACCCGGAACCGTGGGAACAAGAGATGCGAGGTGCGCATGCGTCTTGGCGCCCGCGCATGTATATATACCCACAAAGCGTCGTCCCTGACATCAGAACCTGGGCACCAAACACTAAATATGGTCTCGGCGGGTCCTATAGCGTTCATCCTTGCTCTGGTGGTACGTAAACAAACTCAACGATGTTGTGTAATATGTGCGATATTTTCCGGTCGTGGCATGATGCGACGAGTCTCCAGTAGCCTAGTCAGGCAGGTCTTCTCGCTAGCCGGACAATATCTGGGACGTGAAATAGCTTTAGCTGATAGAAACATGTTCGTCGTGGATGCTAGGTACACACACACATGCCCACAGGGCCACGAACTTTATCTAGGTACACACACACACGTTATACGTCAAAGCGTTATACGAGAAAGAGTACTGGGAAGACGGGACACCACAAGCGTAACTCTCATCCTGTAACTATCTTGAGGTTATCTTGAGATGATTTCGGGGCTTCAGTGTCCCCGCGGCCCGGTCTTCGACCAGGCCTCCACCCCCAGGAAGCAGCCCGTGACAGCTGACTAACACCCAGGTACCTATTTACTGCTAGGTAACAGGGGCATTCAGGGTGAAAGAAACTTTGCCCATTTGTTTCTGCCTCGTGCGGGAATCGAACCCGCGCCACAGAATTACGAGTCCTGCGCGCTATCCACCAGGCTACGAGGCCCCTTAACTACACTTAAGTAATTACACACACACGCACATACACACATATCCTCGCGGCTGAGTGGACAGCGTTCTGGGGGTTGTAGTCCTAAGGGCCCGGGTTCGATCGCCGTCAGAGGAAGAAACAAATGGGCAGATTTTCGCCCACACTGGTGCCCCTATTCACCTAGCAGTAAATATCTGGAAGTTAGACAGCTGCTACGGGCCGCTTTCTGTGGATGTTTGCATGTTTAAGGGGTCACTGAAGTGTTAATCACAAACTTAATAATTAGCAAAATAATTTCAATGTCTAATTAATACTTAGCGAATATTTCATTTGCATTGCGCCTCAGTTATACACAAAAAAAATGATAAACGTACAATGAACTTGTTACCAAAAATGTGATCCATTACAGGTGAGATCCAGCGTGCAGTTCTGTGCCCCAGACTGCACAGGGTTTGAGAGCGGCGACTTTGTGAGGGACCCCACAGACTGTACCAGATACTATGTCTGTGCCGACGTTGGTGACGGTGAGTATGTCTTCCTGCCTGTCTTATGTGTACACCACTGGCCAACTTCAGGCTTCCACCAGTCTGGAATTACTTGATTCTTTTGTCATGAGCCTCCTGTCCTGAGCCTTCTGTCTTGTGTCTCCTGTCTTGAACCTTGTGTCTCGTGCCCTCATTCTTGAGCCTTCTCTCATGAGTCTCATGTCTTGATCCTCTTGTCTTTAGTCTTCCATCGTGATCCTTGAGCATTTTATTTTGAGCCTTCTGGCTGGAGCGTTCTGTCGTGAGTCTCTCATACCAGAGAGTTCCTCTGTTATGATGTCACTTTGACGTGTGACGCGTCAAATTCTTGTAGCCCTGAAAGCTGTCACAGTTTGATGTGTTTTTTATTGTTTACATGTTTCTCATAATACTGTATCGTCCACAGGGATAATAATACCATCAACGTACCCCGTCGACTGCCCATCTGGTTACTATTTCAACGAAGACCTTACGATTCCTGCCTGTGCCTCCATAGAAAGCGCCCTGTCTGGTTACTGCAGTAACCTATGCAACCCTTGTGTGTACATGTGCGACGCTCCCGGCGAACTCACGCCCAACCCTCTTCACTGCTACTCCTACTACGTGTGTCTCGAAAATGGCGAAGTCCTGGAGCTGGAGTGTCCCGCCAGCGCCCAGTACTTCGACTACCAAAAGGGCGTGTGCAGCACGGACAGCTCCGTCTGCTACGGCTACTGCGACATCTGCCTGCCGCACTGTACCCAGGACAACGAGAGAGTCCCAGACCCGTACGACTGTCACAATTTCTACCAGTGTAGCCCGCCCAGTTTGGCCCTCATCACCTGCACTCAGGGCCACGTCTTCAACAGAGACACAGGCACCTGTGAGACGGATGCTCCTTGCATCGTCGACTGCTAGTTTATGAGTCAAGAGAAAATTAGAATCAATTTTTAACAACAGGAACTATGTAAAGGCACTTTCCTCTCTTCATGGCAGATTGAGGAACAAATTAACGTTAAAAGTTAACAAAAAAAGTTTTTTTTTACACTATGTAACCCCTTTGTAATTGAATTTATGTTGCAGATTATAATCATATTTTTTACAGCGTGAATAGTGTTAACAAATTCTGCATTTGATAACGAAGCATGAACTATAAAGTTCTGTCTAGTTCTATGTCAGATGTCTAAAAAAGATTAAGACTTATAGCTTATAATGTATACTTATTGTGCATCTAACGTCTATCTACGTACCTATCTATCTGCTATCATATACGTACAGGCTGACCTGCTATCATGTACGTAAAGGCTGGCCTGCTATCATATGTACACAGGCTGACCTGATATAAAGATATACAGCCTAACCTCATCAACATATACACTCTAATCTGCTATCAGCATGCACAGCAGCTTTGCCAATTATATACATTACTAAATATGCTAATATCGCCCCTTCTCCAAAGGTCTTAACATACGAAAAAATTTATATAAGTTCCATGATTCTCCCATTCCTTTCCCCCAACCCCGTCCCATCCCAAATCCTAATCCTGTCCCCTTCCCAAGTGCTATATAGTCGTAATGGCTAAATTGGCGATTTCCCCTGATAGTTCAATTCCCAATCCTTCCCCTAGCGATAATCCCTTCTCCTCCTCCTCTTCCTCGTCTTCTCCTAATCTGTATTGAAGGAAGAATTGTGATTAGGAGTCCCTGAAGGTCTTAGCTCAAAGCTACATATATAGCTGCTTCTATTTTGCGAATCTTTTGTTAAAATGTGTGTGTGAAATCAATAAATAAAATATTTGCCTTAAACCCAATGAATATTTTTATTTCCCAACATATGAGTGTGGTATTTTTTTTTTTTTTTTTTTTTTTTTTTTTTTTTTTTTTTTTTTTGAGATATATACAAGAGTTGTTACATTCTTGTACAGCCACTAGTACGCGTAGCGTTTCGGGCAGGTCCCTGGAATACGATCCCCTGCCGCGAAGAATCGTTTTTTCATCCAAGTACACATTTTACTGTTGCGTTAAACAGAGGCTACAGTTAAGGAATTGCGCCCAGTAAATCCTCCCCGGCCAGGATACGAACCCATGACATAGCGCTCGCGGAACGCCAGGCGAGTGTCTTACCACTACACCACGGTAATGAAATCTTACGGAGACATCTTACATGAAATCTCCACGGAGATTTCATGATCCTCGCGGCCTTATGTGTACTTAAACTTACTGGTTATTAATGATTAACTAATCTTCCGGCTTGTGCAGTCAAGTTTATTATGAGTAATGAGGAAAGAGATTTATGAGTAATGAGGCAAGAGATTTATGAGTATGAAAGAGTTTCCGGGTTATGAGTAATGAGGATGGAAGAGTTTCCGGTTTATGAGTAATGAGTACGAAAGAGTTTCCGGTTTATGAGTAATGAGTATGAAAGAGTTTCCGGTTTATGAGTATGAAAGAGTTTCCGGGTTATGAGTAATGAGTATGAAAGAGTTTCCGGTTTATGAGTAAGAAAGAGTTTCCGGGTTATGAGTAATGAGTATGAAAGAGTTTCCGGGTAATGAGTATGAAAGAGTTTCCGGTTTATGAGTAATGAGTATGAAAGAGTTTCCGATTTATGAGTAATGAGTACGAAAGAGTTTCCGGTTTATGAGTAATGAGTACGAAAGAGTTTCCGGTTTATGAGTAATGAGTATGAAAGAGTTTCCGGTTTATGAGTAATGAGTACGAAAGAGTTTCCGGTTTATGAGTAATGAGTACGAAAGAGTTTCCGGTTTATGAGTAATGAGTACGAAAGAGTTTCCGGGTTATGAGTATGAAAGAGTTTCCTGTTTATGAGTAAGAAAGAGTTTCCGGTTTATGAGTAATGAGTATGAAAGAGTTTCCGGTTTATGAGTAATGAGGATGAAAGAGTTTCCGGTTTATGAGTAATGAGTATGAAAGAGTTTCCGGTTTATGAGTAATGAGTATGAAAGAGTTTCCGGTTTATGAGTAATGAGTACGAAAGAGTTTCCGGTTTATGAGTAATGAGTACGAAAGAGTTTCCGGTTTATGAGTAATGAGTACGAAAGAGTTTCCGGTTTATGAGTAATGAGTATGAAAGAGTTTCCGGTTTATGAGTAATGAGGATGAAAGAGTTTCCGGTTTATGAGTAATGAGGATGAAAGAGTTTCCGGTTTATGAGTAATGAGGATGAAAGAGTTTCCGGTTTATGAGTAATGAGGATGAAAGAGTTTCCGGTTTATGAGTAATGAGTATGAAATAGCTTCATCCCCATACAACCAGTCAACAAGTGCAGACAACTGCTAGAACTCTTGCTGCCAATAACGAATGCTATTGTTACAAAAAATATATATAATGGCAGTGATCAACATTTTCTTCTCCAGTGTTAAGTAATTTATGCGTGAAATTCCATGACTCGAAATTATGATATAGACGTGTACAGTCTCTTACGAATGTCTGGATTCGTAACACTGGCATGTATTTGGATGTCTGGATTCGTAACACTGGCATGTATTTGGATGTCTGGATTCGTAACACTGGCATGTATTTGGATGTCTGGATTCGTAACACTGGCATGTATTTGGATGTCTGGATTCGTAACACTGGCATGTATTTGGATGTCTGGATTCGTAACACTGGCATGTATTTGGATGTCTGGATTCGTAACACTGGCATGTATTTGGATGTCTGGATTCGTAACACTGGCATGTATTTGGATGTCTGGATTCGTAACACTGGCATGTATTTGGATGTCTGGATTCGTAACACTGGCATGTATTTGGATGTCTGGATTCGTAACACTGGCATGTATTTGGATGAATGGATTCGTAACACTGGCATGTATTTACATACATGGATTCGTAACACTGGCATGTATTTGGATGTATGGATTCGTAACACTGGCATGTATTTGGATGTCTGGATTCGTAACACTGGCATGTATTTGGATGTCTGGATTCGTAACACTGGCATGTATTTGGATGTCTGGATTCGTAACACTGGCATGTATTTGGATGTCTGGATTCGTAACACTGGCATGTATTTGGATGTCTGGATTCGTAACACTGGCATGTATTTGGATGTCTGGATTCGTAACACTGGCATGTATTTGGATGTCTGGATTCGTAACACTGGCATGTATTTGGATGTCTGGATTCGTAACACTGGCATGTATTTGGATGAATGGATTCGTAACACTGGCATGTATTTACATACATGGATTCGTAACACTGGCATGTATTTGGATGTATGGATTCGTAACACTGGCATGTATTTGGATGTCTGGATTCGTAACACTGGCATGTATTTGGATGTCTGGATTCGTAACACTGGCATGTATTTGGATGTATGGATTCGTAACACTGGCATGTATTTGGATGTATGGATTCGTAGCAGTGGCATGTATTTGGATATCTGGATTCGTAACACTGGCATGTATTTGGATGCATGGATTCGTAACACTGGCATGTATTTGGATGTCTGGATTCGTAATACTGGCATGTATTTGGATACATGGATTCGTAACACTGGCATGTATTTGGATACATGGATTCGTAACACTGGCATGTATTTGGATACATGGATTCGTAACACTGGCATGTATTTGGATACATGGATTCGTAACACTGGCATGTATCAATTCGTAACACGGATTCGTAACACTGGTGATTGGGTGTCCATGAATCGTTATGAATTCCCTGTTTACATTCCATGGAATATGCAGTAAATATGCTGGTTATAAATATATTGGATTATAAATATGTATTTTAATTCAATTTATGCAGTAAACACTATGTTCTACAATACGTCAAAACTATGTATTGCTACGTAGCTTCGTAGCAATACCTTGAACAATTGAGACCTACAAGGAGAGGTTTAAGGTATTAAATATGCTAGAAGACAAAAGTAAAATGAGGCGATATGATCACTACGTACAAAATAGTAACGGGAATCAACAAAATTAATAAGAAAGAATTTCTAAGGCCTGGAACTTCAAGAACAAGAGGTCATAGATTTAAACTAACTAAACAAAGCTGCCGATAAAAATATATGAAAATTCCTTTTCTCAAACAAAGTGGTAGACGGTTGGAACAAGTTAAATGAGAAGGTGGTGAAGGCAAAAACCGTCAATACAGTAGTTTCAAAGCGTTATAAGACAAAGAGTACTGGGAAGACGGGACACCACGAGCGTAGCTCTCATCCTGTAACTACACTTAGGTAATTACTAGATTTGGTTTATAAAATCCATTTAAAAAACGAAATGGGAATTTGGCCAATAATAAATTACAAATATGCAGCTATAATAAGCCTATCACACATTTTAAAGACAGTCGTTTTTCTTTTTAATTGTAAAACCTATAAGTGAGTACTTCTGTACGTGATGCACATATATATATATATATATATATATATATATATATATATATATATATATATATATATATATATATATATATATATATATATATATATATATATATTAGTATATTTTGGTAGCAGTCTTTCCTGTAGACATATTTTATTAAATATGACCGAAAAAGTAAGATTAATAATTCTAACACGAATTTTCTCAATCTTTCGTACATTATGCTTCACTGTTGGAGGTAAATCACTTCTTTTGGAGAAGTGATTTTTGATTTACCTCCAACAGTGAAGCATAATGTACGAAAGATTGAGAAAATTCGTGTTAGAATTATTAATCTTACTTTTTCGGTCATATTTAATAAAAATATATATATATATATATATATATATATATATATATATATATATATATATATATATATATATATATATATATATATATATATATATATATATATATATATATATATATATATAACTGAGAAAATCAACTGGAGCAATGAGGTATAACTTATGTCGTGGTACAAGGGTTAGGGGCGCTACTGGCAGTACCCTGATCGCTGCGGGTTCGAGTCTCCTCGTTGCGCTAAGTGATTTTTACATTGATTTTCCCGTTAATGTGATTTCCTTCGTGTAACTATGAGCTGTTGTGTCTTGCTTCTGCCTAAGATGTGGCCGGTGAGGTTCACGGAATTATCTTGCTTCTCTTGCTTCTCTTGCTTCTCTTGCTTCTCTTGCTTCTTGCTGTCGTGAAGCAGTATTGCAGGATTATCATTACTCTTTGTATTAGTCTTCATAAGTCATTGATGCTTCTTACTGAAACCACAATATACAATCCACGACCAGGAAGGCCTGGTCGAAGACCGGGCCGCGGGGACACTAAAAAAAAAAGCCCCGAAATCATCTCAAGATAACCTCAAGATAACCTGTTCTCAAGAAGCCTTTAACTCTCCACACTGGGAATTAATATTTTCGAAACATCTGTTTCCTGAAGAATTTTTGTTATCAGAAATATGAAGAAATAATTGTTTGTCGGGGATTATATTTTTTTACCAAATGGAGGAAAAATAGTTCTGGGAAACATATCTCAAGTGATGGTGTGTGTCTTATGAGCAGAATATTAATGAAGAGAAAGATAGTGAAGCGTGTTCTAAGAGGAGTTCCCAACAAGGAGGAAAATATTATGGGAAAAATGTTGAGAGTGTCGGTGAAGGTGAAGGTCCCTGTGGGAGAGTGCCAGGCTGATGCTGGTCCACTATCTGGGCCCTGCTGCCACCTCAACCACCGCCACCACCACCACAACCACCACAACCACCACCACAACCACCACAACCACCTCAACCACCACCACAACCACCACCACAACCACCTCAACCACCACCACAACCACCACAACCACCACCACAACCACCACAACCACCACAACCACCACCACAACCACCTCAACCACCTCAACCCTCTCAATCTCCACGGGAGACACCTCCCGTCACGCAGGGTGCAGTCGCACCTCCACAGATCTCCAGTATCATCTATTGATACAGGTAATGGCTCAAAAGGGCCACCACTTACGGGCTATTCATGCCCGTGCCACCTCTTGGGTGGCTTAATCTTTATCAATCAATCATCTCAATCTGCCTCATCCACTTATACCCCCTTAACCTCCTCATCAATTTTACCTGTCAATAACATCACTCCATCAGAAGCCTGGCAAATGTGTTTTAATATCGACAAATGCCCTAACAAGTTATCTATAACAATCCACGTCACAACTTCCAAATTAACAACATTACCTTACGACAAATTGATGGAGAAAAGGTCGTTGGAGTCAGGATCCATCATTCACTGAAAGTTTCACAACAAGTGGCAGCGGCAGTGAAAAATAAACCCTAACCAAACCGTATGAATAATCAATCGGACCTCTGACTTTAAGGAAACAAGGTAACCATTCAATTGTCTATATCTATGGTGTGCCTTCACCTTGATTATTGCATCCAGGAGAAGGAGACCTCATCTTCAATGGAGAAAGTTCAACACCGTGCAACAAAAATAATTCCAGAAATATTCAGCTGTCATACCAGGAAGGGCTGATTACCCCAGGGCTAACAACACTGTAAGCAAGGCAGAAGAGAGCGGATCTCATCGAAATATTCAACGCAATTTGCAACTCCGAAAAAGTGCAGTGAGTCAGTATAAGGCTAAAAAACAAGGTTCGTGAATCCGATTTCAGATATTTCAGATATTTTGAAAACTGCACGGGGGGGGGGGGTTGTGTAAAATTTGATCCATCGCCTTTTCACTAGTTGGCATATTATCGGTATAAAAAGTCGTAATTTCAAACTGCATATATGTGCAGAGAACCAGAATTTAGCTCCAAAATATAGGTCAGGAGTCAGATTTGGGATGTTTGGGATATTTTGAAAACTGCAGGGGGGTTGGGCAAAATATGACCCATCGCCGATTTCAGTAATTGGCATACTTTCGGTATAAAAAGTCGTAATTTGAAAATAAAAATAAGTGCAGAGACTCAGAATTCAGCTCAAAAATCACGCTCAGGGGTCAAATTTCGGACATTTCAGATATTTTGAAAACTGCAGGGGGATTTGGGCAAAATATGACCCATTGCTGTTTTCAGTAATTGGCATATTTTCGGTATAAAAAGTCGTAATTTGAAAATGAAAATAGGTGCAGAGAATTAGAATTCGGCTCAAAAATCACGCTCAGGAGTCAAATTTCCGACATTTCAGATATTTTGAAAATTGCAGGGGGGTTTGGGCAAAAAATGACAAATCACCGTTTTTAGTAATTGGCATATTATCAGTATAAAAAGTCGTAATTTGAAAATGAAAATAGGTGCAGAGAGTCAGAATTCGGCTAAAAAATGGCGCTCAGGAGTCAAATTTCCGACATTTCAGATGTTTTGAAAACTGTAGGGTGGTTTGGGCAAAATATGACCCACTGCCGTTTTCGGTAATTGGCATATTTTCGGTATAAAAAGTCGTAATTTCAAACTGCAAATATGTGCAGAGAGTCAGAATTTGGCTTCGACATATGGCTATGGGAGTCTACTATTACTTTTATCACATTACAATTATTACGTACTTTATACTTTATACTTTATTTATTTGTTTAGACATTACGACTTTAAAGCACTTGGAAAGGGGTCAGGATAAGGATTTGGTTTGGGAAGGGGGGAAGGAATAGTGACCAGCCACTTACAAAATACATAAGCGCAATACAGCATCACCGTTGTTCACTCAGTGTAACACAGAATAAACATAAAACAATACATTTTCACTACATCCAGCTCAACTAGTGCTTAAAATGGGATTTCTGTTCCCGAGACTACGAATGATTTCAGTCGTTGACGGATAACACAGTTGACCCTGCTAGATATTATGTTTTCTGTAAAACATATTATGAAACCCTTTTTCTGTTTGGTAATATTTTGCGGGTAAACTCTTGATAACCTGTAAATACTGAGTCGCCGCTCACTATCACAATGGCAGATTACGTTTTTTTTGTATTTGTAAACTTGCTTAATCTTCTTGCTTACTCATTTGGACTCAGACTTACTTTAGAAGGTAGTCTAAAATAAATTGTAATTGTACTCACCTAATTGTGCTTGCGGGGGTTGAGCTTTGTCTCTTTGGTCCCGCCTCTCAACTGTCAATCAACTGGTGTACAGATTCCTCAGCCTACTGGGCTCTGTCATATCTACATTTGAAAATGTGTATGGAGTCAATCTTCATACACAGTATTTAATGCTAGGTGAACGGAGGGATTAGGTGAAACGAAACGTGCCCAACCATTTCTGTTCGCCCTGGAATCGAACCCGGGATCCCCGATTGCGAGTCGGAATGTCAAGACTTCGTTCAGCATTAAGATGATGCATAATTACTGAAAAGGGAAGGGAATTATCAGGCGAAAGCTCAAGGCATTACGACTATATAGCACTTGGAAGGGATCAGGATAAGGATTTGGGATGGGACGGGGGGGGGGGGGGGAATGGTACCCAACGACTTGGACGGTCGGGAATTGAACGCTGACCTGCATGAAGCAAGACCGCCGCTCTACCGTCCAGTCCAAGTATTTGGACATAATTACTGATGAAATCACTAAACAATTAATATATAAACAGTTAGCAATCCCACTTCATTTCAAGATATTTTGAAAACTCCGAGATAAATCCTAGCACATAACTCACCACTGACGACGCAGATAAGATTTGCCAACATCACAACTGATAAGTAATCACGGTGGTGGGCCGTTATCATGGTGGAGGCCCCCACACAGACACCGCCAGCCACTTCCTCTAGGCCCTCTGCCGTGTCCTGCCAGCCACGCCCTCCTACAGACACGCCAGTGGAGGCTACCTCGCTCTGGCGTCCTCCTCCACCACCACCCAGCTGGACACCGACCACCGCCTGGCGACGACACACCCACCACAAGCCTAAAGCAGTATATACGTAGCTGACAGTTGTAAGGTATTTATTCATGTATTACCTGTATATTTAGATATATTATTTACCCGGACCATTCACTTGGACTAGTCGGCGATAGAGCCGACCACATACAGCTGGTCATTCACTCTACTCATATGCTGGAACGACTTAGTAATTTATCTAAATATGTAGCATTATAGATCACCTCATCTTTTTCCTAACAGGCACTTAGGACGATGGGCTTTTATTTCGGATACCTCAAGAAACCATCTGGTATTCTCAAGCTGTTTGAAATAGTAAGTATATATTTTTATTTTGTACCTATTATCCCAAACCTCTAAACTGAACTTAATGGGCAAGGACCGTTATATTTTATATTTTTGAGCGTGAAAATTACAAGATCGTCACTATAGAGACTCCCGCACTAGAGTACAGATAGAATTGATTGATTGATGAAGGTTAAGCCACCTAAGAGGTGGTACGGGTATGATTAGCCCTTGACAAGAATAGACATTGTTTTGGTATTATATATATTATATTATATATTATTACAGTCCTTACATATATATATATAGCCCTTACACCTGAGTAGATAAAAATCCATAAACAAAATCTCGAATAATTTAAGTGACATGGTTGAATGGGTATAGGCTATTCCCTCATTCTTGGAAAGCAATACACATACAATTATTCTTTACATAATACCTATCACAAATTTTGCCAATTATCATCGTAAGTATCCAGAAGCGAAACGAAAAGAGTATATAAAAGTATATAAACGAAAATATCCGAGGACTTTATGTATTAACTAGCTGATGCTCAGGGTATGTTTATTCCGTTCAGTGACCGACCCCAGCGACTGGTTCGTCAATGTCATCATGCTGGTCTTTCACCCACGCACTACAAACACAAAGAATTGCCAGCAAAACCAAACTTCTCCCAAGTCAACTAGACACATAATTAGAATACACATTAATATTAATTTATATTCGAGATGATATTGTTGTTCTACAGTTCGTTGAAATATTAGACGAATGCATTTGTGGGGTCGGCCGCAGCATGAACGCCGATAGCCTAGGAAAGGGATGAGAGATGGTTTCCGTTAATTCCCCCGCCTTCTCCTCACCTAAACACCTAACCTTCACCCATCCTTCACTTCGCATTCACCCCCTGCCTGTCTACCGTACAGCTGTGTGTCATTATCGCCTTCGGGCTGTTCCGAGGGAGCAACACAACCTTCGGTAATCTTGACCTAGACTACTTCAGCGGAGGGGTGTTGGTGACGGCCCTCATCGTCACCCCTCTCCTCCTCGTCTGCTACCTCATGGGCAGGCTGGAGATCCAGAAGACCATTTTTGTGAGTATTCCTCCGACCACTGTGTTTATCATCCTCTGTTTATGGCCTTTCCTTATTTCCTCCTCTCACACATCCATAATATCTCTTCTCAATCCACACATTTTTTCCACGTCTCTTCGCTCTCTCTCATCTGCATACTCCCTCTCTTTTCCTATTTTCGTTCACACCTTCGTCCACTCTCCGCCCCCTTTATCTTATTAATCTCTTCTCTCTTTACCTCCTGTCTCTCGTCTTCCTTCAGTTTCACTCTAATTTCTTGTGATTAAATGTATTGTTACCATGAGGCTTCTGTGTCTCGTCATCGTCTGGAGCACGCTAGTAGGTTTCTCTTGTCCATACCATTGCTACCATACTCACACTATATGAGTCTGTGTATGTATGTATCCTCAAGTGTGTATCTATTTGTCTGTGAGTCTGTGTTTGTCAGTATGTATCCGTAAGTCTGTCTCTGTAGGCTTGTAAGTCAATTACTGTATGAGTCGGTGAGATTCTTGCGGGTTTTGCATCAAAATGGTGTTGCCAATTTTACAGAATAATAGATCATAGCTTTATCATGCAACTAGTAAGCACTGAATAGATTGTGATGCATTACAAACACATAACAAACCGCAGTTTATCGAAACATCAATTTGTGTTTTTGTTTCATCGTCGCTTATCATATGAAACTTTGTTAAATAAGGCATGAACATGGATGCTATGATGCGAGCGGAACTGCTGTTGTGCAAATTATAAATTAAGAACAAATAAGTTCCTTTTGTATTCAGTTCATGTGGTGTTAAGTTTGATTGCAGGCGATGAGTCACAATAACGTGGCAGAAGTACGTTGACCAATCCACACACTAGAAAATGAAGGAACGACGACGTTTCGGTCCGTCTTGGACCATTATCTAATCGATTGTAATCGATTTGAGATCACAATCGACTTGAGAATGGTCCAGGACGGACCGAAACGTCGTCGTCCCTTCCCTAGTGTGTGGATTGGTCAACATAACTGAAGGTCATTTCTAAAAATAAACTTTAGAAGTGTTTTAAAGAGAAGTCCCCCCTGAGGTGGGGAAGTTAGCGCACGCGCACTCACCAGCGGGGTACCAGAACTCCCTGTATGTTAATCAGATAGGAAAGTGCCACATTCAGAACCTGTCCCGGTGCTCAAATCCCAACTTAGCGAGTATTTAATATAACCCAGATAAGTATTAATCTTCACCTTTCCGGTTGTGGACTCCACCAGGAGGTGGTGTTCAACATGTTGATGTGTGTCTTCCTGGTGATTGCTGGTGGCGTGTCCGTCGATAAGTGGACCAATATCGGCGGATCTCACAATAAACACGTCTCCCAGTCCCTCGCCATGGGCAGCTTCTGCATCATCGCCTCCTGTGTCTACCTGGTCGACACAGTCTTCGCTGTCATTAACTACAGGGCCTGATTACCCTCCTGTCGTTCCCTTTGATCCAAGGTGGCTCCAGGTCCAGAGGCCAGATTCACGAAGCAGTTACGCAAAGTACTTACGAACGTGTACATCTTTCCTCAATCTTCGGCGCCTTTGGTTACATTTATTAAACAGTTTACAAGCATGAAAACTTATCAATCAACTGTTGATATTGTTATAAACAGCCTCCTGGTGCTTTGGAGCGCATTAACTGTTTAATAATTGTAAACAAAGCCGCCAAGGATTGAGAAAAGATGTATAGGTTCGTAAGTACTTGCGTAACTGCTTCGTGAATCTGGCCCCAGGAACGTAAGGGGTGAAGATGTGCTCTACGGTGAAACAAAGATAATTTGATATTAATAATTGATAAATACTATAATAAATCTGTCGACTAGATGTTTATTATACATAAAATGTTTTTCTTCTAGACTTAAGTAATAAACAGAATTTATGTCTCCAAGTTCTAAGGTAGCATTACTAAGTTTCTTTTTATAAATTTGTATTTATTTAGTATGGATCTAACCTTCGCCTTGACGCCTCAACACGTACTTTTAAAACTGCAACTATTCTAAGGTGTTCTCGCACTTGCTTATAGTCAATATTGGCTTATTTAATAAGTGCATATGTGACATACTAATTGATTGTGAATATTTTAGTTTACCTTGAAAAGCTTCATAGAAAACACCGACCTCACCTAACCTTCTTAGTATGTTAAGATAAGCATCTTATTGCTTCTTAATTACAATTATTACTTAACCTATACCGTTGATAGGTATAGGTTAATTCAATTAACCAATCAATTCAATTATCAATTAGTATGTCACATATGCACTTATTAAATAAGCCAATATTGACTAAGGGCAAGTGCGAGAACGGGTTGCAACGGTAGACGAGTCCCCAAACTTCTACTAATGTTTCCCTTTACCTTTGTGGTGTATAAAGTTGTTATCAATTATCGTAAATTGAGAACAGGCACATTTTAACATTCTTTACTGGAAGTAACATCACTTCAGAGTGATCGGCCATAACGTGAGGTATATTGAGAGAGCGCAGGCACTATGGTTATGTAACACTTGTAAAGCATGTTGATAAAAGTGTAAAGTGAACTGGTCTTTTACAATCCAGTGAGTAGTCACCACTTTGTCATTCTCCATCACTAGAAGTAACTCTCCGCCACTAGAAATAACTCTCCACCACTAAAAATAACTCTCCACCACTAGAAATAACTCTCCACTACTAGAAGCCACTCTCCACCACTAGAAATAACTCTCCACCACTAAGCAGTTACAACTTTATGTCACTCTCCACCACTAAAAGTAACTCTCCAGCACTAAAAATAACTCTCCAGCACTAAAAATAACTCTCCACCACTAGTAGTCACTCTCCACCGCTAGAAATAACTCTCCAGCACTAGTAGTCACTCTCCACCACTAGAAGTAACTCTCCACCACTAAACAGTCACCACTACACAGCCGATTCCACTGCACACAAATTTTCATTATTAAACATTCACTAGTACATTGTACTCACCACATTAGAGTGCACAAACCCTCAAAACTTGTTACAGCAAAATGTTTATTCCATCTTGGCTAATATTCGTCATCATATTTATATTTTTGGTCTGACACTGTTGCTGAATCTTGTCTCGAGAATATAATTAGTATTACTTTAAGAAAAATCGTGATATTTAAGATTTTGGTGCAAGAGAAGAGTGTCTCTCTTCTAAGTGTTTAAGCAGTTGTATATGATGCTATGTTAGACACCTCATAAATAAAACTCGGCAATCGTGTAGGAAGCAGACAAGGTTGACGATCAAGAAGTCTTTGGGAACGGCAGTCTAGGGTTTGTCAATATGTGTGAGATAAGAATTCAGGAGTAATCCAGTGACATAAAGGAAAGCCTTCAGGAGAATCCTTCTTCCCAAGAGAAAATCCTCCAGGGGTCCTCCACAACCCCTAAGGAAAGGCTCAAGGAGTTTATCAATCAAGGTTTCTGGAGTCCCCATGGAACCTCACTCTTCCAATAGAAAATTCTCAAGGAATTTTTTATCAGTTAAAGGTATTTGACTTAATGGACCCATCCTTTCAAGAAAAGAAATTTCATGAAATTTCCCTCTTTTCAGGAAAGATTAAAGGGGCTCTCCATTCTTATGAGAGAAGATCCCACACAGGGTCCCCATCTAGCATATGGTTGTTTGCTGGTGATTTTAATGCTCCTGACAGGAGTGACAACCCCAGAATTGTCCGTCTACAAGACCAGTCTTGAAGACAATGCAGAACATTTAAGCAGGCTCCTCTCCTCCTTCCTCGTCACTCACGCCTTCAGCCTCCCGCAGTTCTTGGGGATTCTGACTCTTTCGGTCATTAAGGTTGGCAACCCTTATTGCCCAATCATTGCTGGGTTTGTGGGGGCTTAGGCAGCAGTAATTGGAGATTTGCTCTTCGGTATCGGGGTGAGAGACCTCGCTAGCTGGATGCTGGTCTTCGGTAAGTTTCTGTCAGGATTGGGGTACCTTCTGGTGTGGACCATCGCCCTGCCCTCCTTCATGTCCATAATCTACTCCCCTAGCCAGGCTGCGGTTGTCTATGCGTTCATCTCTAGTGGAAAGTGTTTCGTGCCCACCTTGGCCTATTTCTGGTACGAGTGGCTGTTCTTTTCCGTGCAAAAAGACCTGGCCACAACACTGTTCGTCAGCGCCGTAATCCGATTAACATTACCTGTCACATTTTTTTTATTTTGTTGGTATTTCATGAAGGAGCGCAGCAACATAATATGTCAGTAGGAAAATTAGGCAGCGGAGAAGGACTTCACCATCAGGTAATTGCTGACTAAAGAAATGATGCCTCCGCTCTCTTTCTGGTTAATGATGGCCACGGTGGTCATGGAACGCGCCGTTGCTTGCACTTTCAGCGACTTACAAGTGCTCTCGAAGGTGTACCACGACAGCTTTGTTGAGGTGACGATGGAAGTTGCATTAGGGCGAGCGATGGCGGGGGCTATATGCCTGGTCATAGCCATCCTGCTCTTCATGGAGGTGAACCCAATAGACAAAGCCCGCTCTAACGCAGGAGTCTTGAGTGGAGCGCTCTTGCTCCGGTGCGTAGGCTTCTGCATTGTCTGTTATAGGCTTAGCAGAAGTCAGTAACTTTACCATACTCACAAACAGCAGTATGCTATCGAGATCTGCCTCAACCTCGGCCAGATAGTGTTCGACATGGGCGCCAACGGCCACTTGGCTTGCTTGGCGGGAAGCCCTGGGTGGATAGGGCTCACCTCTGGCATGGTCACCACCTTGGTCGCCATCATGGCCTACATTATGGAGTGCTGTCAGTCCCTTATTCTTGAAAACCTGGGGCTGATGTGGCTGATGGGGGCATACTCGCTTGGAGTTTTTTTGTTGTTTGTGTACATGGTGGTGGTGTGGTTCTATACCCCCAAGGAATACCCCACCCCCATCTCCCCGTTGCACCTTTTATCCTCCTCGTCTTCATCCCCCACCTCCTTGTCCTCATATCCCTTCCAAGCGGTGTACAGTCCTTGGAGCTCCACTATGTAGTCTTCCCAGTTTGGTTCCTACTTTTGAGAATTATTTACTTCACCTACCCACTTGGGCTGAGCGGTAGAGCGGCAGTCTCGTTTCATGAAGGTCGGCGTTCAATCCCCGACCGTCCAAGTGGTTGGGCACCATTACTTCCCCGCGTCTCATCCCAAATCCTTATCCTGACCCCTTCCACGTGCTATATAGTCGTAACGGCTTGGCGCTTTCTCCTGATAGTTCTCTTTCCTTAGCCCACAATATTTATTTCCGAAAAAGGTATTCCTGGTGGAAATTCTATATTATATGAGGTAGTATCAGAGAAAAGACATACGTCTTCAATTATTTATTAAACAATAAATATCTAATCAAAAGATATATTGCAAAAGATTATATATATAGCAGAAAATAGTAAATAAAATTAAAAAAAACCTACAAGCAGACAACAGGATGACAAAAATTACTGGGTGAACAGTTGAGTTGAGGACACAGAAGTTGCTCAACTCAAGTCTTATGTTTGGGATCCGACAGTCCCCCGCGGTCGGTTGTCTCTCGATAGTATTCTCGGTGACTCGGATACTTTTGATATCGTTCGCCTTATGCGTTTCTGTTCTCGTATTGGCGTCCTTGGTGATATTTAGCGCCCTCTGATTATCCCGCACATTTGATGGTGCTACATAACCTTCCCGGTTTGGTGCCTTCTTTTTTACAATTACTTATGTTTGGGATGACAAGAGACTCCAAGTTGTTGAGATCTAGTCGACGGCATTTATTTATTTATTTATTTATTTATTTATTTATTTATTTATTTATTTATGCATATACAAGAATGTACATAAGGAATGTAAGGATACAAATATGGTAATTACAGTCTTGTAAAGCCACTAGCACGCGCAGCGTTTCGGGCAGGTCCTTAATCTAAGAAAATTTTAAGGAGGTAAATACTTGCAAAGTTTATAGACAAAAAAATGAAAACAGATTACATGGAATGAAAAAAAAAGAAGATGAGAGAAAATTATAGGTACAGTATATTAAAGCACATAGGTAGCTATGATTGATTGCAATGACAGCTTAAAATGGTAGTTGACAACAAATTGGTAGGCACAATACAGCAGAAACAATATATGATTTGTAAGTCAGTACAAGCGATGAGTCACAATAACGTGGGTAAAGTATGTTGACCAGACCACACACTAGAAGGTGAAGGGACGACGACGTTTCGGTCCGTCCTGGATCATTCTCAAATCGACTTGAGAATGGTCCAGGATCATTCTCAAATCGACTTGAGAATGGTCCAGGATCATTCTCAAATCGACTTGAGAATGGTCCAGGACGGACCGAAACGTCGTCGTCCCTTCACTTTCTAGTGTGTGGTCTGATCAACAAGACAGTACAATGTTATCATCACGAGTGGGAGGATGGCTCGTGGCTTCACGGTGATTAATATATCACAAGGCACAACCTACCTGGGGAGCACACCTGTGCGGTGAGAGATGCTCGCATATACGGTGTTACGGTACCGTGAGTTGTTGTTGTTTTAGATTTAGCTACTCAGAACAAAGTGTCCGTGTAGCACAGGCTATGGTGAGCCCGTAATACAGTACCGTGAAGTATTCCCCCACATATGGCAACCCGTCCTCAGGCCAGGGTTGTTGGAGCCGCGGCCGTCCTCTCCAAGACGCATCCATCCATTTTAACGTATTATGTATTAAATATAGGTTTGTTCTCATATATAAATTAATATTATTATATATTAAAATGAGATATTTGTCTGTACCTTCCTCTCTTCTATCACACGACTTGATAATGGTCCAGAACGGACCGAAACTGTTTTCGTTTCTTCATTTTCTGATGTGTGGTTTGGTCATCAGATAGATACTCAGGAGTAAGTCTCGGGACTTCCTGCACCTGACAAAACGGGTTATTGAGAAATTAACTGGAAGTCTTGGGTGACTCGATCCCGCGGTACTCATTGATGTATATACCTTCGTATATACATACATATATCTGTCTGATATATACACAGACTGTACTCTCAAGTTGTCATAATCCAGTTCTGGTCCTACACAAGCCACAGTCATACATTTTTCTGTCAGTTAAATATTGGACTTTGTCATATTTGTCTCGTGACAAAACCATTAAGCAAAGTCGATCGTACTAGAATCGTGTAAATTTTACTTGAGTTGGTCAGATACTAGAACGTAATTTTCTCTTGAGTAAAAATCAAAGAAAATCCAATTAAAACGCTTTATTAGGAGTAACTATTCGAAAACATTTTTTTTCTGCTGCTGTTAGTCTTGTGTAATAAACACAAATATATCAGAATTTCCTTGAAAAATTACCATCTCTAGTGGTCTCAAAGAAGTCAAGAAGCCAATGGCATGTGGAAGATCCACATATTTTTACCTGAGGACTTTATCCAGATGCAGTTTGAGACACTTTCTTGATGTTTACGTCTCTGGCGGATAAGAGATTCCTGGGTAATTAGACCTCCCTTATGGGAATAAAAAAAATCTTTGTTGTTTGTCCAACATTGTGAGTTCTTGAGCATGAAACAATTGCCCATTGTGGGAGTCTCCTTTCTTCCATAATGGCATGGCCACTTGTTCCGTGATTGGTTTATATTCCCCAGCCCTAGCTCATTGACACAGGCATCTCATAGATTCTTGAATTAAACATTAACGAATATTAACTTGACCACTAATCTCCCATAATGAAATTGTTTAAGATGGTGTTTCAAATTGCTTTCGAATCCATCATTAACCGGGCTGTGTCTCCCACTAAAACTTCTACGAGGAAAATATTCACATTATTAGCATCAATTTAGAAAGTTGATGCAACTTATGACAGCTGCGAGGACTTGCATTAATTAATTGATTTTGATTTAGAAAATAAATGTGACGTGAATAGGAACATCATACTACACTGTCCAAGCGACTCCTTTAGTTAAGTCGGGAAACAAGCTCTATGTTCCTGTGCTGATCGGTCGTCAAGAAATTATGATCAGAATGATGGAAACCCACCAAGAACCCGTAAGGAATCCACCAAAAACACAAATCATAGATTTATTTTGAGGAAAATGAATGGCAAAGTATTCTGCTTTTTGTTATTCTCAGCGTATACAAAATTTATATTAAATATACTAATATGCCATGAATTTGTTTATAATAATGTTAATACATAATAAATAATAAATAAGTTTAAAATCTAACCTATATATGTATGTGTGTGCGGGGGAATGCCATGAAGACCACTGCCTCCCCCCCCCACCTCTCTCTCTCAGAAGGCACCGCAGGTGGAGTTAGCGGGAGCCTCCATGGCGCCGCCGTAGCCTCGTCTGGGTGTGTTCTTCCAGTTAATGACGTCGCCGCCCACCTCGGGACTGCAGCCATCGGCCACCACCGACACCATCATCCGGGTCATCCAGTAATTGGCGCGCTGGCCAAACCCCAATATCAAGTCAATTATAAATTTACGATGAATTCTCATGAATTTGGATAAAGCATTTATTGAGGAGGGATTCGAGCAGGAGACATAAACGAAGCACTGCTCGAGAAAAATACGTCATCAGTTGTAAGTCATGTGTGAGGTGTTTTTCATTCGTAAACAGGGAGTTTGGGAGCTGGATTAACGAGCATTTGGCCTTTGCTGATGAGGACGGGTTGGGATAGGTCAACCCACACAACTCCTAGTTGGCTTACAGGAGTTGTGATTATATATTTATAAATGCAGAGTATAATAATTTTGCGATTCACACCACAGTAACTTTTTAAATAGATTAAGTTAAACAAGACAACAAGAGGAGTCTCGTTTCGATTGTTATGTTTATATACAAGATAATGGCTAACAATGTAAATACTTTTCAGTTCTAAAATATTAAATCAAAGACTAGGTTATTGTCCATTAAAGTATCGCATGTATAAGAGGGCTGCAGCACCAGAGTTAAGAGTAGTGCTGCTAAGGAACATGACTGAACTGCAAAAAACGAGATTAAACGTTCACAAAATATACAAAAAGTGAATGAAGAAGAATGAAAGATGCAGCAAGGACGAGGAAGACGGAGACACGGCGGCTGCTTGAGCCACCAACACCCAGTAAACAGCCACAAAATTATCATGGACGCCTCACCACCTTAGGGAAGATGAGCATGTAAACGTGAGGGATTGAGAGACTTTAAGGCCAAATGGAGACGACCACAAGACTGCATATTTAATCAAGAAAATGGAGAAAGGAACTAGGGATAAAGGCGAGGCGGCGCAGAGTTTCAACTAGCCTAGGGAGGGGTAGAAATAGCCTAAGTTACTCTATCCCTTTGAGATGTATTTTTCTCAAACATACTTGAACTCAACAAGCCTGGCCCCGGTGCTCACAGTACAGAAGAGTACCGATAACTCAACGTTAATTCATCTTTACTCTTAGATAATGTGTCCATTATTGTGGAGTTATGAAAAATTACAATTTTGCAAAACTAACCAAAACACACTATTAATTATTATACCTAAATGCCCCGGAAGGATAAAATTAAAATATCTATTATATTACCTGTATTCCATGGGTATCAAACCCCAGCAAGGTGAGCCAGCCGTGCAGACCGTGGCCGCATCCATCACACGGGTACTTTCCGGTGATAATTTCATGACGCTGGCCGGAGAAGGCCCGTCCGCCGCCGCTCACCGCCAGGCCGCGCTTCTGTGTGGGCAAGTCAAGGTTCAGTGGCCTCGCTCGGTAACACTAATGCTTACCCCTTACCTTGCAAAATATATATGGAAAAAATGGGGAACCCTTTGGCTAGCCACCGGCTTCCTGTCCACCACCACCACTATGCCAACGCCGCTGCACTTAACATAATCATCTCACCCGCTCGTCGGTCTCGCTTTGGACGAGGCGGCCGTCGACGTAGAGGCTCCATCTGCCGGTGCCAGAGTGCCAGGAGTGCAGGACGTGGTGCCACTCCCCCACCAGCTTGACCTTGTGCTGCACCAAGCTCACTATCACACCGTTCACCTGGAGCACGAACGACGGCGTCGACAGTGGAGTTATCACAAGCACCTGGATGAACGTGCCGTCTGCTTCGTCTGTGGCGAGAGGATGAGTTGGTGGTTGATGATAGGCTGTAGGTGGGTGATGAGTGGGTAGTTGATGATAGGCTGTAGGTGGGTGATAAGTGGGTAGTTGATGATAGGCTGTAGGTGGGTGATGAGTGGGTAGTTGATGATAGGCTGTAGGTGGGTGATGAGTGGGTAGTTGATGATAGGCTGTAGGTGGGTGATGAGTGGATAGTTGATGATAGGCTGTAGGTGGGTGATGAGTGGGTAGTTGATGATAGGCTGTAGGTGGGTGATGAGTGGGTAGTTGATACAAACATTTAATAATTCATAACGATTATTTCATACAAAACCAATTAAATTGTAGATTTTTTGCAAACAAAAATCCGCATGACATCTGACAATACAGATATTTTATAACTGCAGCTATAAAAATAACTATAGAAGAAACTATAAAAATAACCGTGTCTCCCTCAGTACTTCTGCTTCTTATCCCTGTTTGTCTCCTTCCTCGTTTCATCCCTATATCTCTCTCACTCTTTAATTCACACTAAATCTGATTTAGTTACATAGTTTACCTCATATTCTCCTTCACTCTGTGTTTGATTAACTCTGTCTGCCAGTCTGTCTCTGTCTTTCTTTGTCTCTGTCTCTGTTTGTATCTCTGCCTCTCTCTCTCTCTCTCCACCTGCACACCGCGACTCACTATAATAGGCGAAGGGGCAGGCGTAGTTGGCAGGTTCGAGTAAGTTGATCCAGTAGTGTAGGGTGAAGCCGGTCATGTCTGGGAGGTGCTGGGCGTACTGCACGTACTGCGACCCTTCTGTCTGGTTGAACAGCACCTGCACACACACACAACCGCACTTAACAACACTAATACATAAATATTAAATCTGTATAATGATTGCCAAGACTGTAACTTACTCATTTTGTATATTTTATGAACACATAATTATTATTATTATTGAAAAGAATATTCCAGATGAGATTATATATGAGGCTAATTGTTGTAATTTTGATGAGAACATTTACGATATTTTGATATTTGGAAATATCTATTATAAGTATTATATGGAGATGGAATTCATGCAAGCATAAATGGCAAGGTAGCCATGAGGGGAAAGTGCTAAGCCAGTACACCTATGCACAAACAAATCACATTAAGGCGAGGTATCAATGAGACCACCAGTAGGAGCAATGTGAAGGATTCGAACCCCTGTTCAGGGTACTTCCAAGCACACGCCTTAGATCACTACACCACGACATAGTAATGGTCTTTCAGGCTTATCACCAGTCGGCGCTGGAACCAATCATATTGGCGTTTGCCTTTCCATTGGAGACTTTCGGCGTCGTGGAGAGGGGGGGGGGGTGGAACCTGCTGCTTGGGTAACAGCTTCTCCCCCATATCAACCTATCCTGGCTTTGCGCCCTGGAGAGGCCACTCCAGACCGACAACCAGAGCGCAACTCCATAGTCTCCTGAGACTGATGGATGCCTACTACTACTACTACTATCTTCTTACTTATAACATTTGGACAATCGCCCGTAAATGGACTGTAGTGTATATATTGTTCTCTCAATACTTTGTACGTTATTCTGTCTTTTTAATTACATCTGTGAGGAACATTCAAAATTTTGTCTATTTAATCTAGTGGCGATACAAGGACATGATCAAGATGCTAGAGCAGTCAGAGCTGTAACAGCACTGTACTAGAGCAGTCAGATCTATAAGAGAGTACTGTGCTAGAGCTATGCAGGCCTAGTACACCCCATACACATTACACAACATTAAACTTCTCTTCCATCTACACCTTTGTTCACAGCGCCACTCTTTGTTCCGGGAAGGGAAAGGAACTATCAGGAGACAGCCTTAAGCCATTACGACTATATAGCACTGAGTAGGGGTCAGGATTAGGATTTGGGATGGGACGCGGGGGGGGGGGAAGGAATGGTGCCCAACCACTTGGAGGGTCGGGAATTGAACGCCGACCTGCATGAAGCGAGACCGTCGCTCTACCGTCCAGCCCAAGTTGGTGGGTCCGAGAGAGGTGGGGAGTGTGGGCGAGGCAACATTCCTTGCCCACATAACGGAATTTGCTGCGGCCGGCTGCGGGAACTTCTCCCAGGTGTCACACACGACGGGTTGGGTTACGCGCCGCGTAAACACCTTAGTCACCCCTGGGGTCACTCACCAGGGGCTCCACCTTCCTCACCCCTGCCCCCTGCGGTCACTCACCAGGTCACTGCTCGTCACGTGACTGGCAGAGGAGGCAGGTCACCTGTGGTCACTGCCAGCGACACGATAACACCACTCCAAGAGTTGACGCATTCCGATTGTTTGTTGCCGCCGAAGGCGGCTAGTTTATTGTGCACCCCATACTCATCCTGTGAGCGGTAGCGCAAAAGCATTACAGAGGGCACAAAAGGTCTTTATCAGACCTCATCTTAGATTATTACATAAACAATTTCTTCAATCCTTCACACCTTATAGATACAATGTCAGCTAGTTACAGAGAAAGTGCTATTACAAGAGCTACATATTTACAGTAAGTCATCATACATTAATGGTAGGTCTTGTCGTTAATACATAATAGTTTGGCCAATGGGGATATTACAGAGTCATAGGGGAGCTTCTGTTTATTATTAGTCCTCACAATACACTACTTGTTTCTGAATCTCATATGTCGTTCATCTACTGGAAACGCATTCCGAGACAACCGTCATACGAGACAACCGTCATCCTTAGTTTAACTAACTACGAACGCCTCCTGACTGTCGGTTATGCTGTATTGTTAACGCCTTGTTATCTGCGTCGTGACTGGTCATTAGGATCATTTAGGGTCATTTGTGACCGCAGTGTTAAGCAATTATTTCACATTGAACGGGGTCTGGTTGACTCGTTAGTATAGATTACTGTATTGCATAGATTCTTGTGTATTTTCTACATACGAGTACTTGGTCAGTGGACCGTTTGCCTAAACGTCATTATGCAAATTATTATGTCATTGTTGTCATATGTGCTGTGCATTCTCTTGTAGTAACCATCATCTTGATGTTGTATATCATTTGTTATATATTTTAACATCTCATATACGTATGTTTACCTCTCCTTTAGTAGTGTTTACCGCCATTATACCTATAAATAATTTTTATCTGAATTATTCTAAGTTTTGCCCGAAACTGTTTGCATAGTTGTGGCTTCACCTGCCACTACTTGTGTACCTCCAAGTTGACCTGGCTTGTGTTCTTTGTCTGCAAATATTTGTGAATAAAATAGTATTTTTAATATTATTTACAGGAATAAATTATACTAACCTGACATATATCAATGAGAACACTGCATTAACTAACCGACGGTTGGAACGGCGGGGTCCAAGAGCTAGTAGCTCGATCATGCAGCCACACACATACACGAATTCAATAATCAGATCAATAATGGCTTTACCTTATGACCAAGAGCCATTGTGGCTCTCCAGTTACATTATGAGTAAGAGCCATATTAGCTCTCTAGCTACAATATGAGCGTCATAGTGGCTCTATAGTCACTGTATGAGCCAGAGCCATGGACGGCATGTACACAGTAACTACGCCCAGAGCCATCTCTAGGCGCTACAGTCACCCACTCCGTCTTCCATCACAGAAAACAAGTTGTTCAGCTTGGTGTTGACTGTCCAGTCACCACCGCTGGCACACTACACACACACACTTACCAGTTCCTGCGTGGGGGAGCCTCCACTCTCAACCACACACCACCAGTCTCTCACCCCAACATTAGGCACAACTATTACAATACACTGATAAAATTTCTGTTTACAAATTCTTGTTCTCTAATAGAGTTACCGCTCGTTTAAGTGTTATATATCATCATCAAAGTCCAAGCAGGTATTGTATCGCCAAGTAAACGTGTTCGAGACCCGGTTAGTAATAATTTTGAGCGAGATTTCTTACCTTGGAGAATGTGGGAGTACAGGTTGAGGCATCTCTGTGGGTGAGGCGGGAGTGGGTGGTACCCACCACCAGCCCGGCCACCAACACCCACCACACAACCATCATACTCATCCCTCACCCACTACCACAGAGCGCCTGCAACCTTCCTCCTGCCTTGAGGGATAACTTTAGTCCAGCGGTGCTTGGTGCGAGGTCTCGTAGTGTCAGGGGTTCGACTTCCGGATCCGAGGATCTGGAAAAAGACGGTCTACTCGATGCTAATGACCGCGGAAGATACCGGGGGATTAGCGGACGTCTCGGCTGTGAAGGTTACTCGGTAGAAACTGCAGACTTGTAGGATGAGCACTCTGGGCCGGGCTTGGGGAGTAGAAGAACTCCCAGAACCCCATCAACCAGGTATCAACCAGTGACTTGAAATAGATGCGCACTGGCGGGAGACGCAGCGTACAGTGTGCAGGTGCGCCGGCCGCATCCTCCTCCTCCCCCGCGGTCAACAGGTTCCGTCACTGGCAAGCGGCCAAGCTCTCAGGTCAGTAACAAAAAACCGCAGCGGGTCATTCACCCTTGACACTTTTGTCCCCCGGACAATTTCCGCCCCCCCCCCCCGGGTACACCTTACTGGTCCATACATCCTCGTTACTGGTCCATACATCCTCGTTACTGGTCCATACATCCTCGTTACTGGGCAACACACCCTCGTTACTGGTCAACACACCCTCGTTACTGGGCAACACACCCTCGTTACTGGGCAACACACCCTCGTTACTGGTCCATACATCCTCGTTACTGGTCAACACACCCTCGTTACTGGTCCATACATCCTCGTTACTGGTCCATACATCCTCGTTACTGGTCAACACACCCTCGTTACTGGGCAACACACCCTCGTTACTGGGCAACACACCCTCGTTACTGGTCCATACATCCTCGTTACTGGGCAACACACCCTCGTTACTGGGCAACACACCCTCGTTACTGGGCAACACACCCTCGTTACTGGTCCATACATCCTCGTTACTGGTCAACACACCCTCGTTACTGGGCAACACACCCTCGTTACTGGTCAACACACCCTCGTTACTGATCAACACACCCTCGTTACTGATCAACACCCCCTCGTTACTGATCAACACACCCTCGTTACTGGGCAACACACCCTCGTTACTGGGCAACACACCCTCGTTACTGATCAACACACCCTCGTTACTGGTCAACACACCCTCGTTACTGGTCAACACCCCCCTCGTTACTGGTCAACACACCCTCGTTACTGGGCAACACACCCTCGTTACTGATCAACACCCCCTCGTTACTGATCAACACACCCTCGTTACTGGGCAACACACCCTCGTTACTGATCAACACACCCTCGTTACTGGGCAACACACCCTCGTTACTGATCAACACCCCCCTCGTTACTGATCAACACACCCTCGTTACTGGGCAACACACCCTCGTTACTGATCAACACACCCTCGTTACTGGGCAACACACCCTCGTTACTGATCAACACCCCCCTCGTTACTGATCAACACACCCTCGTTACTGGGCAACACACCCTCGTTACTGATCAACACACCCTCGTTACTGGGCAACACACCCTCGTTACTGATCAACACCCCCCTCGTTACTGATCAACACACCCTCGTTACTGGGCAACACACCCTCGTTACTGATCAACACACCCTCGTTACTGATCAACACACCCTCGTTACTGATCAACACCCCCCTCGTTACTGGTCAACACACCCTCGTTACTGGGCAACACACCCTCGTTACTGGGATCAACACACCCTCGTTACTGATCAACACACCCTCGTTACTGATCAACACCCCCCTCGTTACTGATCAACACACCCTCGTTACTGATCAACACACCCCGTTCGATCAACACACCCTCGTTACTGATCAACACCCCCTCGTTACTGGTCAACACACCCTCGTTACTGGGCAACACACCCTCGTTACTGGGCAACACACCCTCGTTACTGATCAACACACCCTCGTTACTGATCAACACCCCCCTCGTTACTGATCAACACACCCTCGTTACTGATCAACACACCCTCGTTACTGATCAACACCCCCCTCGTTACTGGTCAACACACCCTCGTTACTGGTCAGCACACCCTCGTTACTGTACTTCCGTGATGACTCCGTGCCCTGGGAGATACAGTGGATCACTACACACACCCACATTTATATATTATATAAAGCTGTGCGTATAAGATGCTCTGAAACCGGTTTACGGGTAGAGTGACAGAGCTCCCCAGATTGACCTGTCCACTGTCCACTGTCCAGTGGACAGTGGACAGGTCAATCTCGACACTCTCGGTACAGCCTCTCAGCAACTCTCGACACTCTCGGTATATCATATACCAAGTATATAGTTACACTCATATACCGAGTGTAAATTATATCCACGTATATAGTTAGTGTTCAGTCCCTTCCTGGCACATTCCATCCGCTGAGTGCCGTAAGCTGAGACATGTTGCCTTCACATCCCAGTGGTTCATTCGTGGCTGTGTTTTCCATCTGTCATGATGAGTGTGCTCACTCTGGCCGCGTCTGGGGGGTTGTGTGTGTGTGTGTGTGTGTGTGTGTGTGTGTGTGTGTGTGTGTGTGTGTGTGTGTGTGTGTGTGTGTGTGTGTGTGTGTGTGTGTGTGTGTGTGTGTGTGTGTGTGTGTGTGTGTGTGTGTGTGTGTGTGTGTGTGTGTGTGTGTGTGTGTGTGTGTGTGTGTGTGTGTGTGTGTGTGTGTGTGTGTGTGTGTGTGTGTGTGTGTGTGTGTGTGTGTGTGTGTGTGTGTGTGTGTGTGTGTGTGTGTGTGTGTGTGTGTGTGTGTGTGTGTGTGTGTGTGTGTGTGTATGTGTATGTGTATGTGTGTGTGTGTGTGTGTGTGTGTGTGTGTGTGTGTGTGTGTGTGTGTGTGTGTGTGTGTGTGTGTGTGTGTGTGTGTGTGTGTGTGTGTGTGTGTGTGTGTGTGTGTGTGTGTGTGTGTGTGTGTGTGTGTGTGTGTGTGTGTGTGTGTGTGTGTGTGTGTGTGTGTGTGTGTGTGTGTGTGTGTGTGTGTGTGTGTGTGTGTGTGTGTGCACCCGGAAACACCACCTCCCCCCGGTAACGGTCCCTATGATGCTTTTGTTACAACTTTGTAATAAAGTTGTTGCAGCTTGTTATAACATTTTTATGACGTATTAGAACGTTATTACAACTTGTTATATTGGTTGTTGACCAGACCACACACACTAGAAAGTGTAGGGACGACGACGTTTCGGTCCATCCTGGACCATTCTCAAGTCGATTTCGTCGTTCAAGTCGTTAAATCGACTTGAGAATGGTCCAGGACGGACCGAAACGTCGTCGTCCCGTCACTTTCTAGTGTGTGGTCTGGTCAACATATTTCAGCCACGTTATTTGTAACTCATCGTGTGCTTATATTGGTTGTTACGATTGTTAGAAGGTGTTAGAACTTGTTCGAACGCTGTAGTTTGTCGTAGTTTCGTCGTGTTTGGCGCGCGCGTCCCGTTTTCTCTCATGCGGCGACATCTGTCACCGGCAACCCTTAATTGCAAGACGAATTATTTATATTACTGATTCCCTCCCGCGGCCACCTCCTGTTCGTCCAATGATTGGGATTGGCAGTTGCAACCATGTTGTACCAGCGTACAGATTCACTGGTTTGTTCGTCTATCCTCCTTTCCTCAGTTACCTTGTCACGGTGATGTTGCCTCACAATACCTCTAATTTGTAGAGGAATTTTGGGTATGAAGTATTCAGTATGGTCTCCGAAAGTGACTTCAGCAGCCAGCACATCTGCCCGCTCATTTCCTCACATTCCAACATCTTCAGAAGGAGCACTACTTCTGAAGATGTATTAATATACGAAAGTACTTAAGGAAATTCCTGTTTCAATTTTCCTCCGTGGTCTGACACTGTCACTTTTTAATCACGTGTTTATTTTTCGTGATTTACACACACACACACACACACACACACACACACACACACACACACACACACACACACACACACACACACACACACACACACACACACACACACACATATATATATATATATATATATATATATATATATATATATATATATATATATATATATATATATATATATATATATATATATATAAATATAATGAGTGCACATGAGAGGATGTGCAGGGACTTAATATCTAACATATTCAAAGATTTAATTTTCTTCAAACATTTCCGGAAAATTTCTTCAAAAGGTCAGATGTAACACAAACAAGAAGCAATAGTTTCAAGCAGCTCAACAAGCCACAATGTAGGACTGAGAACAGGAGATGCTTCTTCACCTAAAGGGTTATATAAACCCATGGAACCACCTACCCGCCGAAGCCGTAAATACCAAAACTCTGTTAACATTTAAAGTACAGCTGGAAAAGATCGTCAGGGCAAATGGGGGGGGGGGACCTTCGACAAGCCGCCGGCTTCCTGTCCTCTTCTAGGCCACTAGTGTTGGTGGCTCTCAGGTAAACATCACCGATGTTGACTGGCGCGTCTGTCTTGCCCTCAGTCATGTGATGTAGTTTTGAACTTTGGTTATGTTAGGTCACTTGAACAACGCCTTACAGAGTACCTGGCCTCTTGTACCTATGTCAAGGACGCTGAGCGAAAGTCAGACATTACTACCACCTTTTACCAGGCAGTAAATTCTTAGTAATTCATTCGGTTATTCTTGTGTTCCTGGCGATAAATATATGTACATTTGCATGTGGGTTGTTGCTACATAGCCTTCCCGGCTTGGTGCCTTCTTTGATAATTATTTGCATGTGGTTGGTATTAATTCAGTCTTGTGTTAATTGGAACACAAACCGGGTGATTCATAATATTTATGATAGGTGTCAGGTGCTGGAAAGTTAAGTTTCTCTCAGGTGAGTCTGGTAGCTCCACAAACTGCTTATAGCAGTGATGGTAGAAGACTTAGTTGGTTAGTGTAAGTCAATGACATGGACCTCTGAATGGTGTGAACTTTGATCAGTCAGTCGAACTAAACTATTAGGTCTGACCAGTAACTGGATTGGTGACCACGTGGACACAGCCTCGTCCTTAACCATGGTTTTCCTGTCCCCCAATATGTAATATCCGCTTGTCCTTCTACACCCATTTTACATAAAAATAAAGAATATCAAAAGTTTCCCATATCATCAATGTGATTACCCACATGTGATGCCGAAGACATAAGTCGAAGCACCGTTGTTTAACCCCTACTAGTTAGTGCATTAACAAAGTCGACATCAATGAATGTCGACAAAGAATTATGAAAAAAGTTTTTGATCATGTCGGACCAATTACTTTATTGACGATAAGAATTGCTCAGACAAGCAAAATTGACTGAGGAACTAATACTGTCATTGCATTTGTTATAAGGAAAATTGTACGTAACAGTTGGAAGTTCCCACTATGTCATCAATATTTAAGAAGCTCTGTAAGGTAAACTTCTTTTATTAACAAGCTTAGGTATACACAGCAATGTGCTGCTACTCTATTCTATATGAAAGATTACACAGTGTAGATAAAAAAAACTAGCTACAATTTCATCTAATATTTCCATCTCACAGGATGGTTAGTCATACATGGAATCAGGGGAGAAAATACCTAAGATAGAGAGTTCATTTGAAATAAATTTATTATGCATGGTACTGCCACATCCCGCTGACGTTCACCTCTTGTGGAATAGCATGAGTTAGCATATAGTTCATGCCGGGTTTTTCATGAAGTCAAACAGGTTTGTAGGCATTAATTTAATTGGCATTTGTAGGTCCCGATTTGAGGTACAAAATACCTACAGTACTTTTAAATACTTCATATGAAATAATTTACATCAAAATCTTATTTAATTTGCACTAATTATTTTTATTATATTTTGTATTTATTTATATACAAGAAGGTACATTGGATTGTGAGAATATATAACATTGGTGTTCACAGAGTCTTGCAACGCCACAAATTTTAGACCTTCAACAAGCCGCCGGCTTCCTGTCAGGTAAACGTTTCGGGCAGTTATAATGACACTAATTACGGATCACAGATACAGGGTTTTGGGCAGCGCTGACATTTCACTGGTAGAGGCTGCCTTCGTGTAGGCTTTGGCCTAAACCAGTTTAGTAAATGTAGGTCAGTTCCCAAAGGGGGAAGGACACCAATATAATAGTTTAAAGTTCACTGAGTAAAAAAAAAAAAAAAAATAGCAATGCAAATTTGTTTGGGCACAAGAATAATACTAGAGTACAATCCGCCGATAAACGAAATTTGCCGATAGTGTCAGTAACATGACCAGTACTGTAATATGAGCACAGAGCGACATTCTTGTACTAAGATTATGCATAACGTTTGGAGTAATTCATGTCGTCTGCTATTATTATATGTTTACTCAAGGCAGCCAACATGGACAAGATATCGCACATTCTTCTCAATGTTTTGTTGCTAATATAAGATTACCAATATCAAATCTATATCATATATTATATCATTACATTGGTAGTTCATTATTATTTTGATTTTGAGTAATAAGGTAGCATAAGTTTGATGATGATAGGACTGACTGCCCTATCCCACAAGTTGCCTTTCTGACAGAGCCATGATGTCCACAAGCATGTAAAACTGTTTAATACAAATAAACACATAGTTTTACTCCGAAAATATATGCAGAAAAATGATACAATAAGTAAAAATTAAAAAGACATTAGGAAATTAAAGCGAATACATAGGTTATGTTAAAAAATTGGACTAATGATGTTGAGAGTTTGGTTGTGTTGGTGAGTGTCGTCTGTCGCTCTGCTTGTGTGTCTGGGAATTACCTCGCGGGGGCCGCCTCATTCATGACTTTCACGCTAGGAAGGAGAAGAACCTAAAGGCAGCACTGGTAGGTAACTTATTTAATGCATTTCTGGATATCTTGGCGTGTTGTGTGTGTAAGAGGGAAGGTGTTGAGTTGTAGGTGGGTGTGGGGTTGTGTGTTGGTGGCAGTCAGGTGTTTGTGGCATTGATCCGTCATTGGCCAGGGCTGCTGGGGTTTAGGGGGGCTGCTGGGGGTTGGGGGGTTATGGTTATAATAAATAGTTAATAGTTACTTAACTATAGAATAGTTAAGTTTGCCTCCTCTGTTAATTGGTCTCTGAAGATTAGCGGTTTGGTTTGCATCAGGTACTGATCTATATTTATAAATGATACAGTATACATTTCCAACTTTTGGATTAGCACAGTTGGATGGAAAATTAACTTGTCAGCAGATGACAGGAGTAAACTGTGTTTGTGGTTCCTCATTACTATCTTCATCCTCCTTTTCTTCATCGATCTCACCAGTTAGAGACTGTAGGATCTCTTCTTTGCTCACCACACCATATCCTGGGTTATCAGCATCTCTTTCTAGGCATTCAGCCACATCCTGTCTTTCTAAATTTTCACCTGCATTTCTGAACATTCCATGCATTTCATATGTAAATCCTTAAAAATTCTATTATTTTCCTCTTCATCATTGACCATAGCTGTGAGGATTTTCTTCTAGAAATTCTTCAAAGACGATTTCTTTACTCACTTCACACTTTGGCCCATTATAAATTGCTTCCTTGATGGAATAGTTTTTAATTTTTTTTTTTTAAATTGTAGCTCTGGTAGCCAAACAAAGTTCATCTTCCTCAAGAGGCAAGACCACCAACACTTCGTTGAGCAACTTTTGGTGTACAACCTCTTGGTGGCACAGATAGGAAGTAACGAAGGGAGGGAATCATTCACCATCTTTCAGTGAACAGTCTTGTAAAATCGACGCAGCGTGGGTTTGTTAAAAACAGATCCTGCCTTACAAACCTGCTCACATTTTTGGAAACTAAACAGCTACTCAAAGGACTTACTGTGGATGTAGTATACAGTACATGGATTTTGCTAAAGTCTTTGATAAGGTATCACATGGGAAAAACTGGTACCAGTTTCCCAGGTACTGTACATTAAAAAATTACCAGTCGGTTTACCTGTAGGTCATTTTGAAAGTTTTACTTTCCAAGCCCCTCCTGGCTCTGTGATGTAAAATTGAGCTATGAGTATGAATTAATATTCTGAAGATCATTCAGAGTTTGGGTGGATGGAATAGCGACCATCTCGCTTGCAAGTTGGCATTCAAGCCCCGACCGTCAAAGTGCTTGGGGTAACTTTCCTTTTCCCCTGTCCCATCTCAAATCCTTATCCTGAACCTTTCCAAGTCCTATATAATCATAAAGGCTTGGTGCTTTCTCCTTATAGTTCCCTTCTTCCTCTTGGCTGAGTGTTTCTTACATGTCTGCCAAGCACCAATATGACCCAGGCTGGCTTGATTTGGAAATATCCCTGCTGTGCTGGTGTGAAATTTTTATTTGCCCTGATTGTCTACGATCCTTTCCAATATAGCCAGAAAGGATCATGCTTTAGAGAGCAGCTAAGTGTACTGCTCAGAAGTTATTTTCGTAGGTGAAGGAAAGCCTTGTTTCTTTCTATAATAAACCTGTTTGCATTCTTGAGCAACGCTAAATAATTAAATTAATTGAGCGGTTATTTAATAACCACAGTGAACATTATTATCCCATAGTACTGTACATATTATTCAGGAGCATGTGAAATACTCTGGCAAAGGTCTAATCAGTATTAATTATGTAATTTTCCTTTGAATTTTTTTTCAGGGATTATGCGGGTATGCTGAAGAGATCACAGAGTCGTGGAGGAAGGGTAAGTACCCATATCTGATAATTGCTTATAATGCATGTTTAGTATCTTTTAATAATATTTTGATGAGTATTGTATATTTTTCAGTGTGTTTATTTATTCTTGGTGATGGCAACTATCCAACACCCTCGGCTTGTTTTTGTGTATTCGGTTTTGAGTTAAATTCTGTTAATGACTTGGCTGCTCCCTGATGATAGCAGTTGTAGATTTTGCCTTACTTGGGCAGTGGTTGTGAACATTGTAGTATTCACATACTGATATTTTTTACTCTAGTCCTTGTATATTCATTATTACACTGCTGAATTGTTTCCTTTATCACTTGAATTTTATTTTATATTCTCAGGTCTTGTATTATAATCCTAAAGGAAGGTATCCAAAACACTTGTCTACTTGGAGTGACAAATAATTTTATTATTACTTTATTAAAATGCATTAATTTAGGATCAGTCTTTGGTGGAAAATTAATTTTTTTTAGTCGGCATGAATGCTAAAATATTTTTTGGCTACATATTATAAAAGTACTGTACTATAAATGAACCATTTTTTGTCATGTTATTTGGTTAGCTACTTGTACTTAATTGTACAGTGAGAAAATGTCAAAGTGGGCCTAACAAAGGTCATATGGACAAGGGAACCCATTTATTATCCCCAGTCCGTGTAGGTGACTGGTGTGGTTTTTTTTTTTATTTTGAGTTTTGCATTGGTGGTTTTCCTATTAGTCTTAGTAATTATAGTATAAATAAGTTTAATAATTATGATATAATAATTTGCACAGTTAAAAGCTTATTTTTTGTTTGTGCCCGATGATGTGAGCATTGCTTGAACATTGGTATTGCTTGTGAACAGTCTCGGGTACAGTAGTACAGTGGTTGTATAATAAACATGCAATAGTGAAGGAATGAATTGTCCTGTGGTACATTCTGGGTTTACAGTAGTTGACCAGAGGTAATTTTTTTTCTTTAGTGTCTGCTAATGTCATATTTATTCAGATGTTTCATTTTGCAGCAAATTATTAAGCTTAACACTTGTTGAGATTCTAACGTAGACAATTAGCTGATGTTATCTAAAATGAATTTGAAAAAATACCATTATTATTTGTGAATAATAAGTTTTCCTACCTAAACAAAATGTCCCATTCAAAATGTTGTGAAGGATTAAATTCTTAAATCACAGCATTTTGTTTTTATCTTCTACACATATTGAGAATTGAAGGAATTTGTAATGTTTTATTATTACTAGTACTGTATTTGATTATTGTACTACAGTCAAATTTCGCTACTACATGAAGATAAGTTTTGGAGAACCCACTTCTTCTAAAACCCATAATTTATTGTTTATAACTTAGGTAGAAATTAGATGACCAAGATGAAATTAGAAGATGATTATGACCTCCTCTTCGCTCATCACACCATATCCTGGGTTGTTGGCATCTCTTTCTAGCCATTCAACCACATCCTGTCTTTCAGAATTTTCACCAGCGTTTTTTAAAAACTGCCCGATAATCTAAAGATTCGGATTAGCGAGCTTATTTAGTTTATACAGAACAGTATTAGCAGATTAAAATAAGAATTAGGTTTTATATTTTACTTAATCATTTAAGATAGAATTGTTAGGGTTCTGTAACCAGTACTAAAAGTATTGATCACTATATTTTTTGCATTACAAAACGATGTGTGTTTCAGTAAAATTTTACATGTGATCTTAGGTGTACAGACAGCCACGTGTTTTCCGAACCCCTCAGGAATAAGACTGAACGGATAACCTGTCGTGTTTGTATAAGTGGTTCGTCATCCTGAAAAGCTAGGGAAAAAATTGACGTTTTGTTGCAAAAATTCGACAGCATTTTGTTTGTACTTGCCAATATGATAAGTTCTGATCCACTTGTTAACTTGAAAATTACAGTTGATGAAGCATTGTTATTTAGATAGAAAAGGTGGTGGTGGATACTGATAGTGTTGACTCAAGTGGAGATTAATGGTGATGAGGTAACCTCAGCAAACTGCCTTTCACCATGTACTCTAATGTACATTACCTAATGCCATGGTAGAGTTTAAAGATGAGACATCCATTAGTGTATAAACACTACTCAAGTGGCTCTGTGTTTGGTCGCTGGGCAAACTAATTCCATCTTTATTGCACATTTCTATTCAGAAATAACTGCTCCCACCAGTTATTCAAACTTTATTTGAACAAACCCAAATTGGAAAATGGGCAGTTTTGGAAAAAAAGATATTCGTAAAGCATGTGACTGTCTGTAATCTCATTGGAGTGTTACTTATTAATAAACAAATCCTTTGAAAATAACTGTGGCTAGAAGGGTTTTTATGGTGATGTCTATATACTGTACAGTATACAGACATTACCATAAAAGTGATGTCTGTACAGTATACATACACTATATGTATCCTCAAATTCATTAGTGAAAATTCATGCTGGCTTGAGAAATGTGAAGGAGGGAGGGAGGCATTTGTGAATATTGGAATATTTTGATGTTCAGAAAAAATGGATATTAGAGGAAAATACAAGCAGTCTGTCACTATACTGTAAGCTATGTGCATACCAATGCAAGTGCTGGAAAATAAGATACTGTTACGTTGTACAGTATTTCAAGAGCACTCGGACACAGTGATATAAAACACAGCAATATTCCAATATGATCAAAAATGCATGCTGGAAGAAAAATTGTATGCATATTCAGGGTTTCACTAGTACATAGTACGTAATCACTATTGATTATGAGGAAAATAAAATGCTGTAAAATAAATAAGTCGAGTGACATACTGGGGATTTGTTATGAAGTAACATGCAAAAACATGTACTGTACTGAGAAAAGAGTTTGAACGTATAACCTATACTATAGTGTAATAGAAGTTGTATCATGAGAATATTTTCACATCGTGAGTACAGCACTGTATTGTACTGTAGTTGTTCTTGCACAGGCATTTTATCATTTTATTTTTTTATTTATACAGCATAGCATGTACAAGGAAGGGTTAGAGCATTAGCTGACTTATGTATTTGGTGATTTTTAGTTATTTTATAAAAATTTAGAAATGGAATGGTATTTGAGTTTTTAGTGTTTGCAAAGTATAAAAGATTGTGGTAAAGATTGTACACTGATCTCCTGATACTTATTATAGTGCAGTATTCAGTGAAGTATTGGTAGGTCTAGTAGTTAATCCATTCAACACAAATACAGTAATTATATTAACTAGTATTCATTTTTGTTCCAAGATATTCATACTCTGGTAGACTGCTGTTAACTCAGTATGTTATGTTCCCATGCCTCTGTGATGTATTTCTTTTTGTGGCACTGTAACATCTCTGCATATCTTTCTGCCCAATTTTAAGAAATGTACCAAGAGAAATGATGAGTATTTACATTAGAAATATTGTACCTTAAATGTATTCATATATTTATGTCTTATGAGCTTTTCAAAGAACTTAGTTACACAAATGGGCAGCTTGATATGGATTGAATTCAACTTTGCAAGAATTTTTAACTTCTTAGTAGTTACTGGCACTTATTGGTTCTCATTTTCTAACTTTTTTCTGAAATATTGTGTAGCTTGTGTAGTATTTGTGAGACCAGCATCCTGTAGTGACTTGTATAGTGATACTGTAGCAGTAAATTGTAATTCTATTGCTTTAAAATATTCTTAATACTGTACATGATTTGTATAATAGAGCAGATGTTTTAGTCTCTGAATTTCTCTTATCTTTTACTCCTGTCTTTGTTGAATGTAAATAATGAACTAAAAGGATAAATATTTCTTGTACTGCAGAAATACAGATAGGTTTAAAGGAGAAGAAATAATCTTGCAAAGTTTATATGATACAACACAAGAGCACATGTCCTCTGCCTGGCTTCTTTCAGCATAGAGTACTACTAGGTGTTGTCTGCCCTGCACATGGCTCGCATCCCCACCGTGTACATCACGGATTGCGACAAGGATCCTTTCGAGGTGGAGCCCTACTGGGACTCTTTTTATATCTTCACGGTATGACAAGAAACTGTACATTGTTGCTTAGAACTAGATCATAAGGGTGATGGATTAAAACTACTCAATAAAAGTCAAGCTATTTTAAGACAAGGGACTGAGTGGTTAATATTTTCCACTAATCATTAACGCTACTTTAAGGCATGGGAATAACATGGTGCCCCTCGTACTAATTTGAATAGTTTATATACCTTATTCAACTGTTTCAATTTGAAAGGGCATTTCCAATGATATACACGGTGATGCTTAATTGTAACTTTACTTGCTATAAATTTCCTGGTTTTTCTTTTATGCTTTTTAATTTGCTTGTTAGACTATGCTTTGTTTATTGTAAGATGGCAAATTTTGTTTATACCTACATGCCATGGAGTTTTGAGGTGTAAATTATGTTTGGGGGACTTTTTTTATCCCCTTGGTGGCATGTTTTGCACAAATGTTGTTTCTGTTGTTGTTGTTATTTTATTATTATTATTATTATTATTATTATTATTATTATTATTATTATTATTATTATTATTATTATTATTGTTACTACACAGCGTAATCATACTAACGTGAGTGCATCATTGTAAGTGGTCTAATTGCTAGAAGTGTGTGCGTGGGAACATGCACCGCATAAATTCGAACTCTCATTACTGCTCCTACGAATTTTCTCAATTATTAATTATTATTATTATTTATTATGTATCGTTTCCTTCGGATACCATATACTTTTGCCACGTTTTTCTTTTTGTTTTTAACTTATATAGTTTGATTTTTTAGTATAGATTTTCATATACAGCAGTATAGATTTTTTACACCTTGAAAATGCCTGTTCACACTGACTTAATAAAGCCATTCATGTTCATAATGTTGTACAGTACTTTATGTACTCCAGAAGCAATGCTTTCTGTTTAAATTTGGCAGTGTAGCTCTCATTGTAACTTTAGGAGTCAATTCTGTTTTAAATTCTTCACACAATATTTCTATAATAGAGCAAATATCTTTGAATATTTAAAAAGTTTCTTGGCTTTTTATCTTATCTTTGATGTGTTAGAAGTAAATAATATCACAGCAACAAATAAGTATAACTACAACAGAATTGGGACAATTATTTCCCTAGTATTGATAGCCTGTGCATATTAAAAGCCCCCTCACATCACCTTTCTAACCAGGCAAGTTATCAGAGGTAGAAAATATTCAGAGTTCCTTTACTGCAGGGCAACGTGACGTGCCATGGCAGTCACTATGTTCGTAATTCATTGCCAGGTCATAATATTGTGCTGCTGACATGTAATGTCTTAAGAATGCCCTAATTGTATGTTCAGGTCTGCCTTTCCCAGGATGACTTAACTCTTCATTTCCTAAATCTGGTAGGCCTACTGTGTTTTTTGGCTGTATATGTCTGTAAAGGGTACTTGTGTGTTTTTTGTCTTCCTGTCTTTCCCTCTCTCCAGTGTAACCTCTTTAGGCTAGGCTTAATCTAATTACAAGCATGAACATTTTCTCATTAATTAGCTTAGGGATCAGCACCAACCAGCTATCGACACATTTAGAATCAGATGTATACTACACCAGCACCTCGACACATTGTGGACACGAACAGACAGATAAAGACAGACACACAGGGTCAGCCTCGTGGCTGAGTGGAGAGCTCTCTGAGGTCGTAGTACTAAGGACCTGAGTTCTATCCCAGACAGAGGTGGAAACAATTGAGCAGTTTCTTTTACCCTGGTGCCCCTGATCACCTAGCAGTAAATAAGTACCTCGAAGTTAGACAGCTGCTATGGGACAGCTTCCTGGGAGGGTGTGTGTGTAAGATGAAAAATGTTGCCGAGATAATTGGTTTTGCTTTGCAGTGATAAGGATATGGTCGCCAATTCGCTAATTGAGCGAACACATTTTATTTTTAAGTACCTGTGCCCAGTGTATGATTACAAGCATATGTTAACAAACTCAATTAATTCGCCAAGCCGTAACATGTTTACCTAAACAAGTACAGTATTGGAATTTCCATTGCTGAGCCTATTAGGCTGTGCTTTGGTACCCTTTCCGCTGCCACTCACAGCATGCATAATGGTTGCATAATTATCTAAACTAACATCTTTGACAATGCTGTTAGTATTATGATGGTAGCATTATCCACTGATAATTTAAAAGGAAAGTATATTTTAATTAAAGTGCTTGTAATGGAAAATGATGATTAAATGAATGACGTAAAATAAAGCTTTTAATAGTGAGCATACATAATTTATTGTATTAATCTAGTATGGTTAAGTGTTTAGAAAAATTTGTTTGGGTAGGCTATATGTGAATTTTATAGTACATTAGACTAAAGCTAACTAGAATTTTCATGTTTTTATTTATGTGAAGTAAAATTTTTTTTCTGCAGCTGTTGCTAAAATAAAATTGTTTAATTATAAATGTATAGGGTATACTAGCATCTTCACAAGTAATGCGTAATCACTAGTAATGTTTCCCGTGCATTTTTTTTTTGTACAGTATTGTGAAAGAGAGTTGAAATATGAGAGACCCTCCTGTGTTTTGTATAGCATCAGAAAACCCGTTTTCTCTAACCAAAACGCCTTTCCATTTTCTATGAAGTGTCAACTGTTTCAGGATAGATTATGCATCCTTACACACACACACACACACACACACACACTCTGCTTTAATAATAATAATAATAATAATAATAATAATAATAATAATTATTATTATTATTAATATTATTTATTTATTTAGGAACCGTACATACATAGTTGCAGAGTTACAGTACAATTATTCTGTTAGATATAAAGATAGAGGTAGTACATACAATACCTAAAGCCACTAGTGCGCATAGCGTTCCGGGCTTTCATGTGGAGTTTTTTTTTCTGGTGAACTTGATGTCTAGGATATATTTTAGCATGCAGTGGGGGAAGTTTGTAGTGCGAATATATAAAATATATTTGGAAAAAATAGTATTTGAAGAGGATCGTGGATTTCCGTGAAAATAAGGAACGGCCTACCTGTATGCGGCGGATACAATTATATTTTATTTATAAGAACAACCTATCTTGGGTAAAACCACACATTCTGGTACAGATGGACAATCCAACACGAATGTCAAACAATTTAACAAACATTACATTATCATCAGTAAGCTTACAAATATATTATACTGGGCAATAATGCGAAATCCTGGACAGTGGGGGAGACGAAATGTGTGCAGTGAAAAAAATATCACAACTCCTAGAGTAATTTACAACTAACCCTCCCTCACCCAACTAGCCTTATCGGTACATTGCTTCTTGCAGGTCGGCGTTCGATCCCTGATGATCCAAGTGGTTAGATAATATTCCTTCCAATCGACTTTCCTAGTTCTCGTATCCCTTCCAAGATGGCCCTGTCATCTAGTCAGAGTGCATGGGGGGATTGTGTGAAAATTCTGTTGTGGCTTCAGTAGCATCCTCAGGGAAATCCTTGTGTGTTCAGAACAGCTCCAGGTTGCGATCCTTATGCCGTGTCGTGGTCTGGTGGCTGGAAGCGTGGGAACACCCTCCGCATTGGTCCGAACCCTCATCACTGCTCCTACGGAGTTTCTCATTGATGCAGTCATGTTAGTGTGATTACTCTGTGTGTAATAGTAAGCGGGGTGAGAATAGCTTGAGCTACCTCATCACTTTGTGTGTATTTTACCTCAATAAACTTATTTCAATTTCTGTGTGTACTCTTAAGAAACGTAGGTTGATTATAAGACGATTATCAGCTGTACTGAAAGACTATGTAACAAATTCATATTCGGCCCGTGATAAGAACGTTCGACTTTGAAAAACGCTTGTTCACAATACAGGTAAACATATGCATCTTCATCAGTCTTGTAACTCTGCTGCTATTATTTTACAAGGTTGACCAAATGTATTAAAACTCTGCTGTCAGCAGGTACTCAATTTGCCTGTATTGAGCAGCCTAGACTAACATTGTACGTGGTTAAGAACCCGATTGGCGATGACGTTGGGAGACCTGCTCCTCCCCCCCCCCCCCTTCCCCTTCCCCCCCCCCCCCCCCCCCCTTCCCCTTCCCTTCCCCCCCTACCCCCTTTCCCTCCCCCCTACCCTCCCCCTACCCTCCCCCTACCCTCCCCCTACCCTCCCCCTACCCTCCCCCTACCCTCCCCCTACCCTCCCCCTACCCTCCCCCTACCCTCCCCCTACCCTCCCCCTACCCTCCCCCCTACCCTCCCCCCTTCCCTCTCCCCTTCCCTCCCCCCTTCCCTCCCCCCTTCCCTCCCCCCTTCCCTCCCCCCTTCCCTACCCCCTCACGCCATCCTCTGTGACGCGTCCAACGTTTGCCAGGTCACAACTGTAATATTTATGTAAACATTTTATTTCTAACGATCCCAAACGTTCGCAAATAATGACTTGCACACTCTGTCCGATGAGTGAAACGTTCGTACTAGGAAATGTACTTTATTGTGAAGGTTTGTAAAGCACTAAATTCTTCTACATGCTAATCGTAATAGGTTTTTTTTTTTCATGCGCACGCTCAAAGCTCTTGTAAAATTGTTCACATGTTCCAGCTTCTAAATCTATATTTAACTCATCAATACAAAAAAAAAGTTTTCCTTATTTGTGCATCGCTTTGAGGTTACCAGTCAGCATCTCGACTAGTTACCGGCAATATATCTGTCCCTTATTTTTAACGTTAATAATTATTGTTTATTAATGACTTTGTATGTTTTCAATAGTAACGAGGTAGCTAACGTATGTATTCATTCTGTGGAATAATCCATAGACTTTTTTTATATTGTGGTAAAAGTCTGTTGGTCAGATATTTTCCATGGCAATATCAAGTACAGAGCTGCGTCGCCATAGGTGAACTGTGACCTTAGGGATCTCTCTCAATGTTGTTGTTTCTTGTGAGTAACTTCCAGGTGGTGGTCTTGGAGTATTTGGGTCACCCTGAGGCGCACGTTCCTCTGTTCGGTACTGGAACTTTGTAGATGTTGCGAATTCCTGTTGTCTTCTCGGTGAAGTTTA